AAATTAACTTTTTTGAAGACTTTTAATCTATTTTTAAAAGTTTATATTGTTATTTCAATAGTGACTATAAAAACAATTTTTATTATGCCAATAGTTAATCGCTTTTTGTTTTTAAATAAAAGCAGAATTGTTTAACTATTTAATCTTAATTTGAATTTTTTAAAATAAGTTTTTAAAAAAACTAATGTATTTTAAACTCAAACTAAATTGTTTTTATTATAAATGATGTTTATTATAAATGGTTTTAAACACAGAAATAAATTTACTTTTTAAAGCATAATTTACGATTTCATAAACAAATTATAAAAATTTACAACTTAGTTTTATATTATTGATAATTTATGTTATGATAAGGGGAGATTCCCTTATTACGTTTGCACTTTTTAAGAAATATAGACCCCCTCCCCCTATGTTTGCAATTTTTTGCATATAAATAGTTCTTCGCAAAAGTTCGCTTGGTCGAACCCCCCCCCTAGTGCRAACGTAATATGTGAATCTCCCACTAATGTAAAATTTTATTGTTAATATACATATTATTAAATATAAAATATTAATATATTGTATCAAGTTTATCTTTATAAATATATTATATTGTTTACTTAGCTAATCATTAAAAGAATATTAAGTATATAATATTATAATAAATATATAATATAATAGTTTATATATTATAGTATACATAATATTATATTTAAAATAAATACTAGAGATTGACCAGAAATAATAGTTAGGAATATTGTTGTACTATTGAAATATTGAATTCAATTTAAGGTAAGTATCGTTAACTATTAAATTGTGTTTTTTGGAAAACATTTTGTCTATAAAACTCTTTAACAGATAAAATGAGTTTTTGTTTGAGACTATGTGATTGAATGCCGTTAATTGAAGTATAAAATAAGCAATGGTTTAATGTATTTATATGTTGGTGTTGTAGTGTTTGGTGTGATCTCCCAACGGGTCTATTGGCGTACATGTTATCAATCGATTTGTGATAAAATTTGTGATTTCCTTTACACTCTTTGCACTCATTTATTGATCTCAAAATGCAATCCATAACAGCATTGAATGTTTGTTAAGTGCATTGCGAGCACTAATGCAATGACACGACAGATACACACCAACTGACTAAAACATATTCATGAATAACAAGTTTTTTTTGCAATTTTCCTCCCTTTCCATACATAATATACATACTATGGTACGAAACAGTACATCACATCAGAAATACAAAGTTCACTACACATATCCATAAATACATTATATTATGTAATCTACAATTGCATTGCATTGTATTGTCAATGCTTTTCGCTTAAATAAATTGAAGTCTGTTTTACATGAGTTGAGACAATAGGACTCTCATATTGTAACTGTTAAGACATTTTGATGATAACTTGTCTTTTAAAGAATAATATAAATGAAATACTAAATAATAGACATAAAAAAAGTTTTATTCTAATCATGTATTAGTCAAAGATACTTATATTGTGTCTAATAAATTATAGTAGTATTAGTAGTAGTGATATCTGTTAGTGATTTATTTTGTTTCCAAAATTTTTATTATATAAAAATTTTATTTTATTTATTTGTTTTATAATATATTCAATTTAAGTTGTCTTTCAATCTCTTTTTTCTCAGTTTCTATTATTTTATTATAAAATCAATGCTTAAATCACAACAAACTCTTCAAACCGTAAAACGGCTGACGATTTTTTGACTATAAATCAAATAAAAGTCATTTCTAAACAAAATTTTATTCACGAAACACAAAAATGTTAGATAAAACTAAAATACAAAATTCAATTCAATAAAAAATTTTGTTTTTACACTTCACTCCACATACAAATCAATCAACAGTGAAATACAGGGCAACAGTAGTGTAATATTTAACCAAAAATTGCAACAAATTGATTATAATGTCATAAATCATTTAATTAAACTTTAATGACTATAAATGGAAAAAATTATATTGTATTGAAATATCATTTAATGTTTTATTTTGTGCGTAAAATGTCATTTAAAACATTTAACATAAATGACTGTAAAATTTTTCTGGAGGTTTGACAAAAAAAAAACATTTAAAATATGGTATATAATTTATGTATATATAAGTTTAAACACAAAATTTAGTGTAAAAATTTCTAAGCATTTTCAATTTATTTATTTTATGAATATTTATATTATTTTAATTAATTTATATATACTCTAATCAAAAAATATATTAATTCTAAGATCATATAACTGTTATTCTTACTATTTATTCAATAAAAATGACATAACATGTACTTAATATAATAATTATAATCAATTGAAATGTATATAAACTTGGTAAATGTTTAAATTATGCGTTAAAAACTAATACCAAAATTTATGAGCACAAATGACCTAGGCGTATTCGAGGAAAATTGAAAAAATTAGCTCAGATTTTTGTCATAGCTATTTGCATATTATTTTATACAAAATTAAATGTTTATATTGATATAAAAATGTTRTTTATAGTGTAACCGGAAGAGATATTGTTTGAAATGTTTCAAATTGCTGTAACTTTGAAATAATATGTGATATTGAAATAATTTTTAGATTCATATATCATAATATGATAAGTCAAAGATACTTAAAGTGTTTACTGTTTAAATTATTATAAAATCATTTTCAATTAAAAAATTCATAAAATATATTAAAATCTCTATTTTCAATTTATTGCCATTGAGTTTACAAAAATATTATTTAATATTATAAAATAATTGAAACATATATATAAATCAATCAAATTTTTAAAAATACATTGAAAATTGACCTTGAAATAAAACTTATTTTAAACTATGATTCTACTGAATACACAAAATATATATAATTAAAATAAAAAATTATTTCTGATATTTACGTTAGAACTTATCAAATGACATATTTATTGAGTCCTGAGTTGCTATTAAATTAGTGCCAAAATAACAATCGTATTCTCATATCTGCCTATTATTGGATAATTGATTGATTACTTATAAAAACAAAACACAACAACACTAACATTGCTTGTACTGTATATGTATCGGTATATGGAGTGCACTGTTTGCACAAACACTTAGCAATTGGTTTTAACTAATATATAGTTCAGTGACACTCATAAACTGGTCTATAAAACTACATTTAATTATATAATTTGATTAAAAAACTACAGAGTACTAAAAATGTCAACTATTAAAATTAGATAATTATATATATAGTGATAATTGATATATATATATATATATAATAAATCCTCAAAATAAGTGTGCATTTTTGTTGCATTAGTTTTCTACAGTAATGCACAAACAGTCGTAAAATTGGTATCAGTGCTCACAGTAGTGTTGGTTATCATTATGTAATCCTCTCTCTCTTTCTTTCATTTTTCTCTTTTTCTCTAAGTCTGAGATCCGGATTTTATTTATAGAAAATAATATACAGTAAGAGTACATAACAGACACTTTATATGTGAAAGTATTGGTTCAATAATCTCGTGAAGGCTTTTATCGCAACTTTTTCTATGGATCACAAAACATGTCTTAAATATAACACAAAATACACTGTATATTGCATTCACTCAAATGATATAACTTATTATTTTGGGCGACCCTATAGTTACAAAGGGCTGTGTGTGTGTTCAAAGGACATATAGTCAAGTGATGACACGGATGGCAGGTATCGATAAAATAAAGACAGAAACTAATAGTACATACAATGCTTCGTCTATGCAATTATAGTGCTATGAATAGTGTGACTTATAATAGGGAGTGGAGTCACAAATGAAAGTAAATACTAATCAAATATAGATTTCATTGACATAAATGTTTTTATATGTGATGTGTGGATGATTTCATTAAATAAATCGATATTATTATTATAATATATTTTCAAATTAATTTTTGTATTTTATATATTCTAATATTTTTCTGGACATAACACACGCAAAATACAAATATTTTCAAATAAAATATTAATAAAATATCATGTTTACATACATATGAAAATTCATTTTTAATATAATTTACAAAATGTATAATGAAAAATAAATTAAATAAACAATTAATATAATTATATAAAATTTGAGTTTAATTAAAAATTATTTGATTAAACATCATATAATTTTAAATTATAATATATAATTCTAAAACTTAAAATGATTTTAATTTTGTTGATTTTTCTAAAAAAATTATATTACTGTAACAACTACAGCAACATTTGCTTGTTTAAAATTAATAATAAATACTGTATTTTATTATATATAATTAAAATTCATTTTGTTTAAAATTACAATATAAATTACTATCTATAATTTTGCAAAATTAAAAATTTATATTAAAAATGTAAATATATATTTATATATTGTATATAATTTATACACATTATTGTTTTAAAAAGGACTAATAACAGTATACATTATTTAAAAATTATTTATTTAATTTATTTTTGAATGTTTTAAATTTTAAAGCAATTTTGGTTAAAAATAAAATATTACAATTTTAGAAAAATAATTAGATAGATCATAGTATGATATATTTTTAGTTAAAACATAATACACTATTTGTAATACAAAAAAAGAAGTTTTTGTTGTTTTTATTTGATATAATATTAAGTACTTATAGTATAAAATATTTTAAATGACTGCAGTATTTCTGAGTTATAGTTAACAGTAGAAGTAATTGTAAAGAAAATCAATATAAATAAAAGAATTGCTTTTCTCTGAATTTGTTTATATATTTGTGTTATTCTTATTCCTATTGTTTTTATTCTTTGTTTGATTTTTATAGATTCAGCAAAAGTCAGAATCAAGAATCCAATACAAGATTACCATTACATCAATCATTTAACGACTGAATGTAAAGTCTAAATGACTCAACTCTAGAGTTATCCGATTGACCTAAAATTTAATTGTCGACACACACTATATACATATATAAAGTATACTATATATCATTACATATGATAAATAAGTAAATAAATATAAATAAGTTGATGTGTAATAAATAATGCCAATCAAGCAATTGGTTCATTGGTTTCACACCATTTTTGCCATAATATTCATTCATTTGGGTTCATGTGCTACACCTTCTCTCATACCTGAAGTGATTAATGACAATCATAGGACTAATTGGACGAACACTATCTCGTGTCCCAAACAATGCTTCTGTTCCCTACAGTTATCTATATATGTATGTCTTGTATGTCTTATCTTAATATAAATAACAAACTGTTAGGCAATAAGTTATAATTTAGTTATAATATATGACAAAATAACGCTATAAGCAATAGTTATATAGCAATATACAGTATATATATATATATATAAAGATTGTTTTCCTGTGACTAAAACAATAAATTTTTGTTTTCTTTTCTTTGTCTTAATCTCCAAAACACATGGACACAACCTAACCAACCCTTATTGCCATTTTCTCTCTCATTCCAATGCTTTTCAAATGTATTTTCCTATTTTATTCATTAATGACTGGTCTGTGGCATCCATATAGTCAGGAGAGTTGGTTCAAGCAGTCAACTGTTCGTTTCAATCGATAACATCAGTGCCCAAATCAATACCAACTGATACGGAGTCACTGGGATTAACATATAATTTAATTGAAGACCTTTACGATCAGTTGCCGGCCTTCGATCGCTTACAAGAACTTTATTTGTCACACAATCAGATCAATCATTTAGGAAGAGGACAAACATTTGCAAACCTAACTCATCTCAAACTATTAGATATATCTCATAACAAATTCCGTACACTATTTGCTGATGTGTTTCGTGGACTCAAGCGATTGGAAATACTCGACCTCAGCAATGGTCACATCAAATACATTGATGAACACGCTTTTGATGGCTTGGATATGCTTAAGGAGTTAAACATTGAAAATAATCAGTTGTCGTCCATTTATTTGGAGCTCTTTCAAAGTATACTTAATCTTAGCGTAAGTTTTTTCTATACATATTTTCAACAAACATCACATATATTTGATATTTTTGCATTTTATTATTTTTAATAATAAATATATTATTTAYAATTATACAAGTTATATTTAATAATTTTAGTAGAAATAAATAATATAAATGATAAATATAATAATTTTGAAACAAAATACAACGTTATTCTGTATGTTTTCAATATATCAATACAATGGACTTAAATATGAAGCCAATATATCAATAAATGTAACAACAAATAACTATTAAAATACATGTATCATATCATTAATATAATATAACTATAAATATACTCTAAATAGACTTTTCATAAATCAAATTCAAATATATTTCCATTAAAAGTATTACTACTTAAGGGAAATGCAATAAATGGTTATAATAAATGACTAAACATAGTGTTACTCATAGATAAATGGATATCCACATGCAAAACCATTACTTACAGTATGATGTGTAATATATATTGGTATACCTTATGTGAATACAGGTGCTGAATGTTGGTGGCAATAGCATCAGTCACTTGACGGGAGGCATATTCGCGTCGTTGACAGGCCTTAGAAAACTAGTGTTTTCCCGCAATAGAATAATTAGTATTAATGACAACGCGTTCGTTGGTTTAGAGCTTTTAGAGGAACTGTATCTCAATGACAATCATTTAATCCGCGTGCCGTCGACAGCATTGCAATCATTGAAAAGACTTATCACTATTAATATAGACACGAATCCATTGGAACAGTTGTCTACCGGAGACTTTGTACACATACCTGTCAACCATATAAGTGTTGCTAATTGTAAGCAATTAGTACTTATAGATAAGGGAGCCTTTTGGGATCTGCCAAACATCAACAACATTATCCTACACTCCAATCCCAATCTTCAATACATCGACTCTCAGGCCTTCCTCGGACTACCACTTCTTCATTCACTCCAATTACACGATTGTGGTCTCAAAACGTTTCAACACGACATAATTGACTACGTCTTCAATGACCAACAGTTTCATCCAAAACATAAACTTAAAGTCACTTTTGATGGAAATCCGATACTTTGTGACTGTAATATTCAATACTTATATCAGGTTTGCAAACAATTTACTCACATATTCTTTGAAAGCTTTTTTGTGTTTTTAAGATTACATTTTTATATAAAATATATATCGTTAAAAAAGTAATATTAAGCTTAAGTTTTATTTATTACATATATTTATATAAAAAGTGTTTATTATTAACGATTTTCTTAGTTTTATAATGAGTTTTAGGCTCTAAACCTTATCATTGATCTTAAATGTATAATAGGATTTTGTAATGCAATTTATTATAATAGAGTTTTGTATACTAAAAGTACAGTATATATCACTGTATTATGAATGTTAAGATAATTAATTATAAAGAGATTCAAACCAACAAAAAGTTATAAAGGCTTAACAATGTTGTGGTTTTTATACAGAACTGTACCATAWATACAGTACTTATAGTAAATTTATATACAGTAGTAATTCATTTTGTATTTTGTTATTTCAGTGCCTCAAACATCCAAACAGTAGTAAAATTGAATTAATTGACGGCAAAAATTTGCAGTGCTTTCAACCAAAGAGTTTGTCGGAAATTAAGTTAATTGAATTGACAGACAATTTAATACCACAAGAATGTACGCCAAAGATTGTGACGATAGGCAAAGCAAATGTGACGATACACAAGAAAATAGGTGACAGACATGTATTTCAATGTAAGGCATTGGGTCTACCGGTGCCTAAAATAATATGGGTTCTGCCAAACGGTTAGTTTTTGTTTTAATTAATTTTTCTTTACTATATATCTTTCTGTTTAATAAAAGCAAAACAAAATAAATAAAGACTAAAACATTAATTACATTGTGATTGTCCTTTGGTTTAAGATTTTTGTTTTATTTGTTTTATTTGTTTGTATTGTTTTACTTAACTTTAATTAATATAATTAAGTTTGAAAACCATTTACAGTTGACATAACATTTTGTCTTTAATATGAAAACAATAAATCTATACTTTCTTTAGGCGATGTATTGAACGAGACGTCAAATCAGATTCATATTCAGCTCAAAACACCGGGAAGTTTGCGAATCTTTCATTTGCGACCGAAAGACTCGGGTGTCTACAAGTGTATCGCTGAGAACAGACACGGAATAGCACTTTCATCGATGGAACTGTTGGTCAATGATATAGATCTGCATTTGTTTGCCATAAACGTTGCCTCGACTTATGTAACACTTGTGTGGAACGGAACGGCCCGTAATCTGTTCCCGGAGTATCAGATACTATATCATCGCATTGATAGCAATAATCTGTCGACTAATATAACCAAATACGAAACCGTTACCGTTAATCATTATCTGCGCTCCTATACCATCAATAACTTAATGCCTAATCATAAGTACAAGATGTGTATCTCTATTAGAGATGACGATAATGACATCTCAGGTTCTGTACAGCTCTCGTGTACTATAGTGCAAACGGCACCGGCATATATGGTCGGATCCATGACAGGTATACATAGTTATTATATAACACAACTGATTATTTTTTGACACAAAAGATTACACAAAATTAGTGATATTTTTTTATGTCACAAAAATATGCTTTATTTAGCTGAGAAAGTTTGACTTTAGGTTTGAAAAACTGATAGTCAGTGCCGTCTCCGACACTCCTCTGGATTACACTGTAATTGATTATACGGTAGACTAGAGTACAGTATTGTATTGTTAGACAGTCTTTGCCAACATTACAGTAATCTGTTATATAAATGTCAGCTCTGTTTCACATTTCTCTCTATTGTTTAGACAAATACATTATATTTACTATAAGTTTAAGTTGAATCAAAATTTAAAGTTTAATTCATATTATTATACATTAAGATATTGTGTGAAATTATTATTTTTTTTGCACACAATCATATCTATATGTTTGATATGCCTTTAAAGGCTTCAATGATTTAGAGGATCGTCAACCATATGACTCGTATATGATATGAGACAACACTAACGCCAATCTATTGTATGAAATGAGATCTTAATGTAATTTAATGATAGACTGAAATCTTATAGACTGTAATAAAAGAGTGAGTGAGTGTGTGAGTGAGTGTGTGAGTGTGTGTGTGTGTGTGTGTGTGTGTGTGTGTGTGTGTGTGTGTGTGTGTGTGTGTGTGAGTGAGTGAGTGAGTGAGTGAGTGAGTGAGTGAGTGAGTGTGTGTGTGTGTGTGTGTGTGTGAGTGAGTGAGTGAGTGAGTGAGTGTGTGTGTGTGTGTGTGTGTGTGTGTGTGTGTGTGTGTGTGTGTGTGTGTGTGTGTGTGTGTGTGTGTGTGTGTGTGTGTGTGTGTGTGWGTGTGTGTGTGAGTGTGTGTGTGAGAATAGATAAAAGATTTAGTTGAATGGACTTATAATCAGATCAATACTAACATTATTGTAAAAATTAAAAAAAGTAAAGATTTTTAGGTCAAAAAATATGTTTATCTGATTTGTTTAATTGAAACCCTATTTCTAAATATTGAAAATATAATTAGTATACAACTTATTGAATATAAATAAAATATACAATATATGTATAATTAATAATACATTAATTAAATGTATGATATGTTTGATTGTTGATCACCTAACAGGTCATGTGTCAAATATGGCGGTGGCGTTGACACTATCGGTGTTTGTATTGATGATATTTGTCATATGCTTCAGCTTATGTGCCGCCCGTCAGTACCACAAGAAGTTTCAATACGAGACATCACACAAATCACTCATTGATAACATGATTATCATTCCTATGGATAATATTTGTTCACCACTTATCACGACTACATCTAATAACGGCACCGATAATAGTACTGCCAATTGTGGGGCCAATGATACAAATGAGGTCATCAATGATAATAACACTATTGTTGCAGTCAATGAACATAATATTTAATACCTGTATATTAAAAATAGTATTTGTTGAACAATTTTGTTGATTTTGTTTTATTTTTTATYTATAATTTATAGTGTTTAGAAAACTAATTAAATATAAATTAATTATTTAAATGTTTGAACCACACTATTGTATAAAAAATTAACGATCTCTTGTAAATAAATAAATTTAATTWGTTGTTGGATAATACTGTACTATAAAACTTTATTTAAAATCTAATTTTCAGATAAATTATCAAAAAATCAATTTTAATATACAGTATAATACTCAATCTATTAAATAATAAATAGTATGTGAGAAATAATTTTTATTTTCATAATTATAAAATTTTATAAAGTTTTTAGAGTATAACTCATTAACATTGAATAATTATTATCATAAAGAAATAAATAATTCATTATTCAGTATTCAATGTATTATTTCAGTAATTAATCATTTTTAGCCATATGTCAAACAATTATTATATATTATAATGTATTATATAAATGTTAATAAATAAGTTATTAATAGTATTAAGGTTAACATTAACTAAAACATTATATTAATACAATTGCTTTGATGATGACTGTAATGGAAAAATGCATTATTGCTTACTAAACAATTAGATCATTGATTCAATAATAACAAATACTGTATAATTAAACAAATATTTGCACAGATCCTAATTTATTAGTACTATAATGAAAACTATAACTTTTAATCTATAAATTATTTGAAATATTAGACTAAATCAATAAACCGGTATATCATAGTATAGTATAGAAAACTAAGTTGATTTTCAACAGCAAAATATTCAAATACTGTATAAGTTTTGTATTATTTTTGTCATTAATGATTGCATAGTAAGTAATACTAAAAAACTTTATTTTCTTGATACTGTATTAGACTTAAACTTACTTATTATAATTAGTAAAATATATAATCTATTAGTAATAATTAGATATAGTTTATTTTTTAATCAACTTTAAGTAAAATAATTTATTAAGATTTTACAATTTTAATTTATGTGTTTTGAATGCATTTTGCTTTTTAATAACAGGTGTGGGTATGTAGTGAGGAATGGCACTTATAGTTCTACTCCAAATCACTTCTTTATCTTTCAATGGATCAGTTAATAGGTTTGATGTGTTATTCTTGTGGTTGTAGTAGTCATCCTCTTTATGAACGACAAGAAGTATTTGAAAAAAACTGACCAAATTTTCTGTATTCTTTGGATAAAACGTTTTGTCACAATATTTGGGAACAAATGTTAAATTAAAGACATCGGGAATATATCCTTTAAAGTTGTATTCATTTGTTAAAATACGATACATTTGTTCCGATATATCGTAGCACTTATTGATGTCTAGGGTTTCCCTTTTGATTCGCGGCACGCATTTGGGTGCAAACGTAACCATTGTTCCCACAAAGTTTGGGTGAGTGTCCACTGGATATGTGTTTTCATCTAAATTAAGGAAAATTTGAAATATAATGTTTGGCGACAAGTAATCCAAATCAAATTGTAGCGTAAATTTAATATCCAATCCATTCATTTCTCCCGTCAAATACTTAATAAAGAAATCATTCCAATAGGGCTTAACTCTTAAAGATATATAGCGTTTGTAGTAATTTATATTCAGTCCCTCTCTTTCATCGATCGGTACGTATAGCTGAGGGCTATCAATACGCGTTGGCTTCACTTTATCCGCATTAATCAAATAGTCATAAGTATAGCCCAAAGATTTTGAGTCGACATTAAAGTCGGCCACTCTATAGCTCTTCAACTTTCCCGTCTCGTCGTAAAAATCAAACGTTTGATTTAGATATTTAGGTTCAATAATGTTTTTGCCGCCGGCTTTCATCCACGACTCCCATATGCGGTCAGTGTTGCTGTGATGTAAATAAAAGATTGGATCTCTCGATGATTTACACAAATCCGACATAAATCCATGCGGACCGCCAACAAACAGGTGTACATTATCGTGTGGTATACGCTCGAGTAGGCCCTCCCTATCCGATGCAAACTGTGGTTTATCAATACGTCCGCCACCAAAACTATGACAAATATTTAATTCATTATTTTGTTTATGTGTTGTGAAGAAATTGGTGCTTAAGGCCGGATAGGGATCTATTAATCTTTCGCTAATTGAATTTCCTTCATTAATGTTTGCACATCTCTCACTCACATACAATGGGTTACCGCTATCTGCCGGCTGCCGAAACTGTATAGGCATTGATCGGGAGTCTTTCTCATAGACATCCCAATAGGGCAGTGCAAAGTCGGAACTATTGATGGTTTTTCTTAAAATGCGTTCAAAGAAAAATATATACATTCGGTGCCAAATTAGGAAAAAATATGACTCGTGTTGACACTTATGCCAATTCAAACTATCGGCTATTTTGTTAGCTTTATCTGAGCCATCATAGTCTGGCCATCCATGAATGTTGGCCTGAAAGTTAAAGCCCGTCGGGTCGTACTTGTTTCGGGTGTCTCTCTCTTTCATAATAGCAACTCCTCTCTTGAATAATTCCCACTCTTTATATGTCAAATCTTTATAATTTTTTCTAACATAAAGTTTAGCTTCTGCTAACCAAATACATATTATTGCAATTAATGGTAAATTTAATATCTATTTTATAAAATAAAAAATTATTTAATTACAATATAATTGTGTTTTATATTAAAATAACAAATATACCATTTTACTGTTAACTATTTTCGTTAACAAAAGTATTTTAGCTAATTATTGCTTTTTCAATAAAAAAAATAGTTTTAAAGTTAGTTAATTCATAAACAAAAATTGTAGCCTAACTTTAAGCATAGAACACAACTTTAAAAAATCAATTGTTTGTTTTAGTAAATTAAGTTTAAATCAAAATAAACTTCAAAAATAATAAACAATAAAAAATTGTAAATCTTATTGACAAAAAATCGACACCAATTTTTTAGTAAAACATAAAAATTTAATTTAAAACTGAGTTTATTTAACTTTTAAAAAATAAATATAAATGCTCTCAATATGACATATGTTTTTGAGAGAAGTGAACTTTTTATATTTGAAGACATTTAATGTTTGAATTTATTTCCGCAATCAAAACACATGATTAACTAATCACATAAAATTTCTCAATCATTTTATTAATATTACTTCAGAAACAAATAATTTATTATTAATAATCTAAATATTGTTAAACAACTAGTATTACTATTATTATTACAAGAATTTAATTATATATATATAAATTAAATGAAAAAACAATTAAAAATTTTAATAAGTTTTATTGTGGTTATATCTATGTTAATATTAAATTACTGTTAAATTTTATTAGTTATTATATTATTTATATACAATATTGGATTACAAATTAGATGCATACTTATTAATGATATTAAAATTAATTTTTAAATGACAAATAATTATAGAAATATGTATAAACTTGATTAAATGAAAATAAATTAAAGATAACTTTTAATTATGGATAATAATGAATGAGTAAAGTCCTGTCAAATTCAATAATAAACTCATCGTCTTCTGGATAATAGATATCATCACATGATTTGGGAACTATTGTTAGATTAAAATATTTAGGAAGTACTCCGTTATAGTTGTAATCATTTTGTATGATTGTAAACAAATTGTTAGTTATGTCAAAACAGTGTGTAATTCCCATTGCTTTTCTATTTTGACGAGGGATACAATTAGCCTGAAAATTGGCGATTGTCCCCAAAAAATTAGGTCTGTCCTCGTATGGCATCGTGTTTTTCGGCAAATTTAAGTATAATTGAAAGAATAGACCACTTTGTGAACCAGCGATCACTGTCTGGAGAGTAAACCTAATCCTGTTTTTTGGTACTTTTCCTTTTGCTATGTTTTCAAATAATGACTTAAAGTTTTGTTTGATTTTTAAAATAATTGAACGCTTTTTGTTAGTTATATCAAGAGTTTTGCTTTCATCGACGGATACATAAAGTCTTGGATTTTCATTTTCAGTCACTTCTATTTTGTGGTCAATTTTGATTAATGAGTCGTATTTGTAATTAAGTTTTGTAATGTCAAGAAAGTCCCGCACATAATAAGTGTCCAAAATTCCCGATTCATTGTAAAACTTGAATCCTTGATTGAGATACTGTTCTTCCATCAGGTTTTGTCCACCCATTGTAAGCCATGATTCCCATATCCTATCAATCATGACGTGATTTATCCAAAACACAGGATCTCTGGCTGCATTGCACAGGTCAGCCATATAACCTCCCGGTCCCCCAACATATATATGAATACGATCGTGAGGTATACGCTCAAGGAGTCCTTCTCTGTTACCGCTAAATAATGGTTTATCTATACGTCCGCCACCTAATGAATGACAAACATTTAATTCATTGCTTTTGTTTGCGGCAAAGAATTTGCTGAACAAAGCTGGCATTGGATCAGTTATTTCTGCATTTAACGGCTTTCCTTCGTTTATGTTTTTGCATCGTTTGCTTTCATACAATGGATTTAATGTTTCATTGTTAGGAACCCGAAACGGTTCGGGTATTTCTCGTTGTCGCGGATCAGTGTAATCCCAATATGGAAGTGTAAATCTAGGATTATTAGTGGCATGTCTTAGGATGCGCTCAAAGAAGTAGACATACATGCGATGCCAGACAAGGAAGAAGTAGTGTTCGTGCGAACACTTGTGCCAATTGAAGGCATCGGCGATATAGTTGGCTCTTTCGGAACCGTCGTATTCATTCCACCCGTGAATGTTTGACTGAAAGTAAAAACCCAATGGATTTCGGATGTGTTTCTCTTTCATTAGTCTAATACCACGTTTGAAATCTTTCCACTCATTGAATGTCAAGTCATTAACATTTTTTCTCACAAATATTTCTTGTTGTCTATCTTTCTCTGTATTATAAATGCCATTAATTTGTAATAAAATAAATATTATTAACATTTGATGAATTATTTGCTACAATAATAATAATAATAATATTCTGTTAATAATAATTTTATATTTAAAATATGTTTATCTTTATATACCATATTAGATGACACAAAGTATGATAAAATATGATGATACAGTAAAAATATTAAGTTTTATTTAAAAATGCAGATTTAAATAAAAAACAAAAATTTAATGTCAAAAAGAAAATTTTGATAATAAACATTAATAAACTATTCATTGCTATTACAAAAAAAATAATTATATAAACAAATGAACTAAAAACTAAAATATTTTATATAATTTTCATACTATATTTAAAAATAGTGTTTTTGAAATAAAATAATTTTATTAAATTATTCTTTAATTTAAGGACCAACATATGCTAAATAGTATTTAATATAAAATAATATAAAATTGATATATGTAAATTGCACAATTTATAATTTTAAATATGTCATTTAATAATATGTAAGTCAGTATTTTATTTATAATATAAATTTATTAAAATACAATATTATACTTATACAATTTGAACTATATAACATTGCTAATGTTTATGTAATAAAAGTTATACAAAAAAAAAGTTTTTGACCCACAATAATAAACTGATTTATTAATTATAAACAATATAAACAAGATTATTTTATATGACCTCATCATCTAAGCCTATTTAATAGTTTTATTATTATTATTTTAATTTTCAAGTATATATAAGCATTATTCTACTGTACTATAAAAATATATTATTATAAAACTTTTGCTTAATAATAATAGTTTTCTTTGAATATCATGTCTTCTATTTAACAAAAAAATTAATTAAAACAATCACAATGTTTACTAATGCTAAATACAAATACTTAAATTGTTATTAAATGAGTAAAATAAAAATTTATTTAATTGCAAAATATTATACAATAAGTTATTTAAACTTGTAAGTTTATGAATAACAATAATTAGATATTATAATTTGTGTCAATAACTAATGTCTGCTATTATTTAGTTCATAATTGTTTTATTTCAAATTATTAAAAAATTTAGTCGTATAAAATAAGCTTTATGATAATGAGATTATTCATTATTTAAACTAATATACTGTAAAAATTATCATATTTTTCTTAGTAATTTATCTAACAGTTAACATTAGAAATGTATAGATTTTTAATATTAACAGTTTATATATTTTTTATCACTTATTTTGTCTCAGAGGCCAAGTTTCCCGAAAAAGACATTAATATCGGTTTGTATTAATATGTATTTTATTGATTAAATTAATTTTTAAAACTAATATAATTTGTTAATTTATTTATAATTGTCAATAGTATTAACTCCTATGATAGCAACAAATGAGACATTAATACAACAATTTAAATGCAATGATAATTCTAATATCAAACAATTAAATTATTACAAACAATTTCCTACCAAAATATCGTGTAATGATTGGATTTATAAGAAAATGAATACATCATTCAATATGACTACAAGTGATGGTCAACAACAACAGCTTATACTTAATAATATCAATACAATGACAGCACATGTAAAAGGTATGTTTCATCTGATAATATGTTTATGATTAATCTATTTAAATACTAAATTTATAAATCTAACAAATGTATATAGGTCAATTAATATTTACACAAGATGGCATAATAGACCAGGGTATGTGTGCCGGTGCCAGGTTTGAAAAGTTGGTCTTCAATAAGGTTGATCCAAATGCTTGTATAAATGGTAAAGGAGTTACCACTCAGACAACGATTTTTGGATCCATTAGGATCTCAAACCATAGCGTTTGTGAAGCTTTTTGTTTCGGAAAAGTTTTTGTTGAGTTTACACCAGGAGTTGGCAATGAATAAACATAACAATTATTCAAACAATTTTCTTTATTTATGGTATTAATAAAATTTACAAAATTTTTACAAACAAATAAATTTAAATAATGAATGATTTAAGTATATGATAACTACAAAATGGTTAAATTTAATGTAATTTATAATATTGCTTATAATAGTTCAAACAAAAACTATCACTTTTCAAAAAAACCCGTATTGTAAATACAAATTTACTGTATTATTAAAAACTAAATTTAGATTATAATTGACCACAGTTTTACTACATGTACTGTATATGATTATTTGTATTATACTTAAAACAATATAATTGACATCAAATGTGTCTTTCGTTAAATCCAATCAAAACTATAATAAAATTATATTAAAAATTAACATAAGGTTTAAAATTAAAGTTTAGTTTAAATTACTTGTCTAAAAGATTAGATGGTATAGTAATACCAAAACCTCCAATACCACTACCAATACCAGTACCAGGGGCTCCAAAGGCTCCAAAATTTGGATTAGAATAGTATGGGACGGGTAGTACAACAGGATCTGTCAATAAAAATTAAAAAATATTATTAAATCAATAATAAATATTTTATTATATAATGGGCAAAGTTTTTTGCCACTTTCAAAAATTTTGTTTAGTGTAAAACAATGTCTACAAATTAGACCATTACTTCTGAATTGTGGATAAGGCATCCCATATCCGGGTACTGCCGGACCATTGAATATAAATATTGGTCTCTTTCGAGGAGTTTGACTACAATTAATTGTTGTTAAAACGTTTATTATAAATATGACTACAAAAATGTCTAATTTTGACATTTTATTATTACAGTATTATTAAGCACTTGTAACTCGAAATATGATTTAAATTATTTAATTTTGTGTTTAGATTTTCTATAGAAATCAATGTCACTTATATATTACAACTCTTTATATAATTTTTGGTAATTATATAAAAAAATTATAAGTTTCATCCCTTTTAATTGAAGTTTATTAAACCAATAGTTATAGTCTATTGATCATGTTTTTCATTAATTGTCATTGACATCAGTCCAAAATTTTTAATTAAATTTATAAATATATTTAAACACAAAATAAAACATTTTTTTGTTTTATTATTTTATTACTTATTTCTCTATAGAGTATACCAACTCATGCGTGAATTAATTTATTTATTTATATCTTTTTTAAAAATTTAGAATTATATTTAATTTAATTAATACAACAATTTTTTGAATTATTTGGTATTTGGTATTTTAAAACTTAGTTTAATTTGATATATTTTTAAAATTATATTTGTAATATAATTATTAACAAAATATTAAGAAATAGTATATATAATTATTATACATTTATTCTTAAAAAATATTAGTTTATTTTTTAAAGCAGTAAAAAATATAAAAAAAAAATTATCAAGAAATAGCAGATAAATGTATACTAAATTCTTAATTTTGTCGACACCTAAATATAATTCATTAAAATACATAAATACATTCAAAATAAAATATTTTTGTATTAATTAAATTATGAAAATATTAAAAACGTCAAATTAACAAAATAAATTTAAGACGTAAAAAATTGTTTTATTTTATTTTAAAGTTTAATTAAATTTTATATTAAAATAAATACATTTTTAAAGTAATACAATATTTTTAGTTATGTTTTATATCATATCAATTAAATAGATACAAATAAAATATTAAAAAGACTATATAAAAATAAATATTTATTTACGATGCCATCCATGACTAGAAATGCAAGAAATGATAAATAGTTTACAAATTATTGGTTAATGTAATGTCATTGCAAGTCATACCCTCCGTGATCGTCACCGCCTTCATGACCACCAAAATGATGTCCAAAGTGTCCGTGACTTATATCACTTTCTTTATGATAATAATGACTTCCACCTCCTCCGTGATGTACAGGAATTGGTATAGGAATGGGAACTAATTGTTATATTTAATATAAATAAATAAAAATTTATAAATTTAATAACAAATATAAATATTTAAAGATAGTTTTAATTTACTTATTTGTTTTGAATGATGGTGATGATGATGACCACCACCACCACCACCACCGCCTCCACCTCCTATTATGATAATATCGTGATCTGATCCATGGTTTCCTAATTGACACTTTACAAAGTATATTAAACACGACACAAAAAATATAACATTAAAAAATCGACTCATTTTAAAAATATATTGAATATATTTTAAAAGAAAAGAGAATAAAATTTTTAAAAATATTGGTTAAAATCGGAATATGAATACAAAATATGATTTTTGATTTAAAAAATTACTCTTATTTATTATATTGTAATTTACGGCTCAATGCATATTATTTTTCTTATTTTATGATATTTTATGTAGATTTAATAATGTAATACATGTATGCCGGTATTTGATTATTATTGTTATTATATAATATAAAAATAATATATAATTATTTAGTATATATTGTAATAGTAATATTAATAATTTGCAACAATATTAGAAAGTTACTGTAGTATTAATTGTACTGTTACTTTATAACTTTCACTAAATTTAAATAAAATTAATTTTAGAACATATTATTTTATAAAATAATATCTATAAAATTGTATAAAAACTTGTTTAATAATACATATTATCAATATTTTATATTTACATCTAAATAAAGCAAAATTGTTTTCTCTTATATAACAATATTCATACACTGTATGATATACTGTATAGTATAATAAAAGTAAATATATGGAAGTAATTTAAGTAAAAATACAAAATAACATGTTTGTTATGTATCAATTTATTTGATTAAACTATTGATTTTATTATATTAGCATATTAAAATACAGTAGTTTATATTTACTTGCATTATATAAATTAGTTTGTATTCAGTGATATCACCAAAATATATTTGGTCATTTATAATAAAATTAATTTTTAAAATAAATAATAAACTATTATACATTTTACATAAAAGTTGATTTTTATTGACAAATTTTTACTTTTAAACAATACCCAATATATTTTATATAATAAATAACAAATTATAGTTTATTATATTTTAATATAAACTTAATTAATTGAAAATTAGAAATAATTTAAAATACAGTTATACTGTAAACAATTTTTAAAGATAAGTATTATATTATTTAATAATATTTATGTAATTAAAAAAAATAATTTTGTCATTAAAATTTATTGTCTTTATCGACGCCAATCATGACTAAATATAAAACATATCAAAATTAATCAATTGATAACAAATTAAAATAAGTAAGATAATACCCTCCATGTCCACCATGTCCACCATGTCCTCCGTGTCCTCCATGCCCTTCGTGTCCCCCGTGATGATAATGGCCACCACCACCACCTCCTCCATGATGTACTGGAATTGGTATCGGTATGGGGACTAAATTGTTATTTAAAATATTTTTAAAATATAGTAAATAAAAATTTTAATTATTACAAAAATAATTACTTATTTGTTTATGTCCTCCTCCGTGATGGTAATGTCCACCACCACCTCCTCCACCTCCATGTCCTATAATTATAATAGATCCATGTCTATTTTTTTGACAATTCATCATATTTATGGTAATATTAACTATTAAAAACAAAAAGTACATATAAATCATATTTATATTATTTTATATTTATATTAATTTATATTTAATTTCGAAAATGTAATTATTTATTTTTAAATGTAAACTAAAATATTTAATATTATTTAGTTAGTTTCGTGACAAAATATTAAATAAGATTTTATTAGTCATTTAGTTAGTTATTTATATATAAATTATACTTATATATAAACGAAAAATAGATAAAAAATGACACAATTGTTTGAATCTAAACACAGGTTCATCGATTCATTTGACTATTCATTAAATTTTTACAGACTTTTGTTAATTTTATTTTTGAAATTTTTTTATTATTTTTTCAAAAGAATTACTGTATATACTAAATGATAAATTAAAAAACAAAGTTTTTTATTTAGACAATCGTATTGCTTGATTTGATTTAAGTATTATATAAGAATTTAGTTGTTTTATTTTATGTTAAATCTTATAAATTTAATTCTGAAAATTACTTAACCATTAAATATACCTTCAAATAATAACTCATATTAAACAATGTAGAATAAAAAACATTAAATAATAGTAAAATTCATTTATTTATTACAAAATTGAACTAAATTTAGATTTATTAATTTTATACAATTGAATATTTTTTATTATAATTATATTTTTAAATAATTATAGTACCTAAATAAAACACTTTGAATAATAAAAAAATATAATTGTTTTTATTTATTATAATTGAATCTAACTTGTAATTGGTAATTTATCCAAAAATAGCAATACATTATAATTTAGAGTAGATGAATGTCGCGGTTAATGCTATTTAGTTATTATATTAATTGTAATAAATAAAGTTAGTTATAAAAAGTGTAAATTGTAATTAAATATAAATAAAAAATAAATTATTAATGTGTATAAAATTAACTAGCTAATAGTCAACTATTTTATGTCGATACTATTATCTAGTTAATTTGTTAATTAATTCAAAAATGACCAAGTACTATAATATTGAGTATAATATTATCTATAATTATACCCATTTTTGGTCATTTTTAAACTGAATCTATGGTTTGGCAGATATTTAATAAAAACTAACAATTGTTTGAAAGTTGAGTACATCTCTAACCGAATACTATCTCTACTATCAATTCATACATTATATGTATAAATATTGTACACGGTGGCTCATCAGGAGTTATTTTCAAAATACACCACTTATTTCAAAAACTACTAATTATATTTTATTTTAACAAAAAATATTATAAAATATGATAAATGGGATTACATATTTTAATTAGATAAATTTTCAAAATGGCCGCCATTAATTGCAATTAAATGGCAAAGTCGGGTGTACAAAATTGGATGTTACCCGTACTTTCATATATTGCTGTATGGCCCGTATCTCACTTTCAATCATTTTTGTGAATTCTTCAATAGATTGAGGGTTGGATATGTAAACCATATCCTTAAAATAAACCCAAAAAAATAATCACAGGTGTTGAAATCGGGTAAATATGGAGGTAAAATCATTTCCGCCGCCAGTCTTCTTGGGCACATCCAAACCTATAATCCGATCACCAAAACACTCTCTAAGTTGTTCAAAGATATCTTGTGTTCTGTAAGGTCGTGAACCATCTTGTTTAAACCAGTAACAATCAAGCAATCTTTTTATCTTCAGCAGACCCTATGTCCTGCACAATGATTTAAGTCCTGTAGATCTCTGATATCACAAATTTCTCTTAAAAATATAGGCCCAATTATTTCTTTGTCACTAATAGCACATCATATGGCGACAGGTTCTGGATGTAGCGGTCGCTTGATAGTCAAAATATAATAAATAAGGACAATTTCGACTATTTTTACACCTGACTTTGCCATTTAATTGCAATTAAAGGCGGCCATTTTAAAAATTTTTTTTATAAAAATATGTAATCCCATTTATCATATTTTATAATATTTTTTGTTAAAATAAAATATAATTAGTAGTTTTTGAAATAAGTGGTGTATTTTGAAAATAACTCCTGATGAGCCAGCCTGTATTACTTTCTATACTGACATTAATATACATTAATATATTGAATAACATGTGTTGTGCTCTCAATGAATGCAAAGCTTTGATACAAACATTGCGTAATGTATTGAAAGATATTAGGCGTCAGTATATATGTTGACAATAATAACAGTAATAATAAACACATCTCTTTGGACCCAATTTGGTGATCATATCAAGCAATTGTCGTTATTATCATCAGTGATGGACGACAACAGGTTTGCTATTCAATTGATTTCACACAATATGAGACGCGAAGAAATGATGGCTCAAGTGATCATCAGTTTAGACCAGTTGTCGACGATTACGGACCACATCTTCAAACGAATCGATGAGAAGATTGAGTCAATGAATGAGAAGCTATTGGACATCAATCAGAGGAGACAAAATTGTGTCAATAAGATTCAACAGATCAAGCAGTTGGCCAACAAAGCCACTAAAATATACGCCAATTATAAGTATCCGATGGAAGAGCTATCTTCAGTTAATGACATTTACCGACCAATTAGTGGTCAATTCGTAGACACTAATCTGATTAATAGTTTTTATGAAGATATCAAAATCAGTGCAAAACATATACCATTTGACGAACAGTTGATCAAAGAGAAGACACAGTTCTTCTCGATTCCCAAAACGTATCACAAATCCATTGATGACTTTGACTCATATGATCTCAATTTAACTGAACCTTTGGGTCCAATTCCATGGCATAGAATCACTTCTTTGTCATCACTTTTAGTCTTTAATACGGCTGACAACCCATATCTCAGAAGATCTCAAGGTATATAAATCTTTATCTGATTTTATAGATTTTTATTATTGAATATACAGTAAATGAATTTTTCTTATTAATTATTAAATACCGTATATATCTATATCAAAGGCTCGTCATTATATGACCAGAAGATACGGTCGAAGCGACCACAAGATGCAAATGTCCAAAATAATGATATATTTGAAGCGCCAGACTCTATACTACACAGCGAACAAACAGAAATACAGGATCCACTTCTTTATTTGCCAAAAGTTCAATCAGCGCCACAAATAATGGATGACTTACCGGCAGCTTTGCCAGCACTTGCAGGCATTGCTGATGACATTATTTTCACACAAATGGATGAAGATTTTATGAGTTCAACAATTCCTAATTTGAAATCAATTAATCAAATTAAACCACAATTGCCTGAGATTACAAATATTGATGAACCAAACATAAAGACTGTATCGCAGAACATTGTCAATGTTACACAACCCAAGACAATAATTAGTCAAACCATAGCTCAGTCTACAACTACAATACCAACTGCAGTACCTCCACCTCCACCTTTTGTACCACCTCCTCCTCCGCCACCACCTACTCTTCCTTCAATAACCAAAGGTGTATCAACAACAAGTGTACAAATGTCTAATGATAATTCAAGATCTAATCTATTGGCGTCAATCAGAGAAGCAGCCGGAAAGCCTAAAAAGAATGTAATGGAGCGCAAAAAGGAGGCAAAAAAGGCCAAACAAAAAGAAGTGGTTAGTGGAGACCTAATGACAGATCTGTTCAATAAACTCGCGATGAGACGTAAAGGTATCAGTGGTACTAATGTTGCAAAAGAATCCAATTCAGTTCTCATGCCATCCGGATTATCGGCTGATCCCAACTCCGCTATGCAACGCATATCATCTATGATTCCACCGCCGCCACCACCAATACCATCAGTCAGTCAAGAAGATAATGAAGATGATTGGGACTAACATTTAAACATTACATAGTTTTTAATTAAATTTCTCTATATTTTAAAACAAATTTTGATAATATAAAAATATGGTATTTTGATAAATTTGTTAAAAATATCTATTTTAATTTACTGTACGCTAATAATGCAGATGTAAGGTATCTACCGGTAATTAATTTTTTATACAAATATATCTTAAAATTATCAATAATGAAAAGTCATTAGCAATATAACATGTGAACCGGTGGTCATTGAATTATTTATTTATTATTTGAATAAAATTACAATTACGGGAACACTAAATAAAATAATAATATAAATTTATGTACCGCTAATTTGCTGTAAATTTTTTGTTTTTTTTTATTATAGAGATTTATTAGGTGTAGTATTTTAGTAAACTATTATTATCGTAATGAACATAATAGCAGTTATCGATGATATTCAACATTATTAGACACGATTACTGTCACTCAAACCTCATCTTCATTACACAACATATTAGGTATTCCTTGCGATATCGGAAACTTGCGACCAGTTTCTGGACATATGAGCTCTCCGTCGATGACCTCTATCTCAAGCAAAGCGTGATGTACTCGTTTAAGTACTTCCTCTTCGGTATCGTTTGGTGTGTATGAATCGGGTAATTGGACACCAAACTGGATAACAAGGAAATGGTTAGTCATTAACAAACATATTTAATGCTTACCTGTTGTGCGGTGATTGTCAGTACAGACCAATCAACTTTAGGGATCATCCTCTCGATGAAGTCCTTATTGAAATCAACGTTTACTTCTTTGACTTCATTGGCCTATAGATCCAAGCAGTCATTTAATAACAAAAAATTGGTCAAACAGCTGATCCGATACTCACCACTAATTTAAGCGGAAATCCAACGGTCACACCTTTAAGACACTTTGAAGTCAACATATTGTGTGTTAACAACTTCATCATCGATGGTAATATAGACAACAATTACTAAATGAAATGTGTATCAAATCAATTGAAGTCTGTTTAAATGATTGTCTTTAATAATCTCAACGTGTTTTACGATTATATACAGTAAGTTATATTCATATGCTTTCAAAACACATGTTAATCAATGCTATATAACTGATAGAAATCTCAATTAATTTATTGATTAATTAAAAAATTGTGAAATATTGCTATAAAAGGCTTTAAAAAATAGTTTACAACTAATTTGACCCTATTTTATATGTTTAGATAATGATAATCATAATTACTGTTAGTTTAATTTGTAATATTATTATTAAATTGTTTATATTATAATATTAATGTCAAGTTTATGCAATTTTTATATCAAATATAATGATTTTGTTTGATTAATGTTTGAATATTGATTGTAATGTAATGACTGTATGTATGCATAGAATGGCATTAATAGTCAATCATATAATGATTGAACAATTCGGTCAAATTGTCGATAATATTAAACAGTAATAATAAATGTAATACTATTTGATATAAATTACTAAATAATGTTTATATTGTCATCCATGAGATGTCACTGTATTTGTAATGTAATAATGAGTGTAAGCATAGAGTGTAAGCAAATGGACACAAATGTCATCAAATATTAGTAGTATTTGTTTGTCACTAATGTCTGCATCAATAGTATAGCCATTGAGTGCACCATTTGGTCGCACTTTACGATCTGTTGTGTATGTCTTTAGTGTCCAATCAATGGTCAAAATGAGTGCATTTCATGTCTAGTCTTGTCATTAAAACAATTGTTTACGTCATTGAGTTGTTTTTGATTGACTGACTGACTGACTAAACAATGGCCGCCATCGATGAAGAGATGGCAAACTATACGGTAATGAATACTGACTGATGAGTTGTCAACCATTTAGWGCAATCCGTTGTTCATTGCATTTGACAATCGCTTTGATTACTCGCTAAATATGTTGATATTATATAGTAATTGATTTATTTGTTTTAATCATTTTTTTGTCAGTCATTACCGGCCTTCAAGACTCGTGAAAATATGTTTTTGGATCAACAGTTGCGAAACATTCAGAGTATGATCCGACTGACAAAAAGCAATTTGGAAGCACTGAACGCCCGGTTCGCTCAATACCAACATCCGCCATCCATGTATATCGCAGAATATGAAGACTTGACCTCTAAATTAAATGATTTTCAACGTCAAGAAGAAAAGATACTCGAACTCATGACAGTCTATGACTATGAAGACTCACCCATTGATTTGATTGACAATAATTACGAGCTGTTGGCCAATGCATCTTCGGGATCGGCTTCCAGTTCAAGTCAACCGCGAACACCACTTAAATCTGTAATGAGGGCCCACCTGCCAAACCAACAGCGAACCAGTGTTCAGGTGACTCCTGGAATGACAGTTCGTGAAGCACTGTCTAAAGCTATGAGAAGAAGAAAGTTAACGCCAGAGATGTGCAGTCTTTTCATATATCATAATAAGTATGATTTAATCATCATTTTTATCGTACATTTATAATACATTATACGTATGTTTCTGTTTGATTGTGTTTTTGACAGACAACCCATTGAATGGGACAGAGATATATCATCACTTGAAGGACAGGAAATATTAGTTGAATCTCGTGAACGGTTTCCCATTCATACTAGTATTTCTCATAATTACGTAATTATTACCATAAATTTGGTGAAAATTAAGATTTTAATGATAACTATCTTTTTTTATTTGGTATTTGTTTTGATCTATAGGTTCGCAAAACATTTTTCACATTAGCCTTTTGCGAGTGTTGTCATAGATTATTATTTCACGGTTTTCGTTGTCAGACATGTGGCATACGGTTTCATCAACGGTGTGCTAATGCCGTTCCTTCACTGTGTCAACCATTACGAGTCGAATCTAATTATTACCGACACTTACTGGCGCTCAACGATCAGTCAACATATCTGTCTAATTCAAAGCCATCAGAAGTCGCATCTCAATCATCTCAAGCATCACAAAATAGGTCGACACCTTTGGGCCAGAGAGAGAGGTCTACTTCGGCACCAAATGTGTGTTTCAATCTAGTCTCTCACACTGAACTTACCATGGAAGAATTTCGTACATTAACTGGAGGTATGTCTTAGTTTATTATTTTTATTTACAATTATCATAAATATAACTAATTTTTGTTAATTTTTATAAATTCATTGGATTTTTCAAATAATTATATATTATGATTGTTACCATAAATTTAACAATTATTGGTTATAATTATAATGAAATGGTATTATCAAATAATATGACAAACTATAGTTTGTCCATCAATTGTGTCTCCTTTGAACTTACGTCGAGTCAATCCTTATGCGACACTTAGAGGAAAAGGAGGTGAAACTGTTGGTGTTATCTCTGTATTTAAGAGCTTTGTGTCGCACTCGGTGTTACCAAATGTTGCAATAATTTTTATTATAACAATACTGTATTTATGAGTGATATAATATAACTTTAATCATAACTATAGTTTAATTGAAATTTTGATAAATTGTATGCTTAGATGAGTTGCTTTAACTGTTAAATATTTGTTATTTACCGCTAATTTAATACAACAATATTAACTATTTTATGATGTATTGAAAGGTATGGCATTTGATAATTTAGCGCCGCCTCACTCGTCCGGTACAATAGCTACCAGTTCGACGTCCGGATATCAGGGTTCTATGTCTCCGTCTTCATCGCCCACTCGGACGCAATCAGCTGGTGGTTCCCCCACAAGCATTCGTCAACAATGGCGCCCCAGAGCCCGATCAGCTGACGAATCATCAAAAAAGATTAGACCGGTTTCTGGTGGAAGAGAATCTATTGAAGACTGGGAAATACCTCTTGAAGAGATACTTACCGGACCGCGAATAGGCTCCGGTTCTTTTGGAACAGTATACCGGGGCCATTGGCACGGACCTGTTGCTCTCAAGAAACTTAATGTCACAAATCCTACACCCGCTCAGCTTCAAGTTTGTTAATCTAATTATTGTTATAATATTATCGATATTTACTTTTTATATTTTTATAAAAGGCTTTCAAGAATGAAGTGGCAGTACTTCGGAAGACACGTCACGTTAATATTTTACTATTTATGGGTTGTGTGTCACGACCTCAGCTTACTATTGTCACTCAATGGTGTGAAGGGTCGTCATTATATAAACATTTACACGTTTTAGAAACCAAATTTGAATTATTACAACTTATTGACATTTCAAGACAAACAGCACAGGGAATGGATTACTTGCACGCAAAGAATATCATTCATAGAGACATGAAATCTAATAGTAATTTACATTTTATTATACAATTACTTATTGAACTAATAAATCATTATTTGTTAGATATTTTTCTTCACGACGACCTTACTGTCAAAATTGGTGACTTTGGTTTGGCTACTGTTAAGACTCGATGGCAGGGTTCACATCAATTCAATCAACCGACCGGTTCTATACTATGGATGGCACCCGAAGTGATCCGAATGAAAGAAGCCAATCCTTATACTTTTCAGAGCGATGTTTATGCATTTGGAGTTGTAATGTATGAGTTAGTCACTGGTTATCTGCCGTATCAACACATTAATAATAAGGATCAGATTTTGTTTATGGTTGGACATGGATTAATACATCCGGATCTTAATATAAGTCGAAACGATACACCCAAGGGTTTCACGCGTTTAATAGAAGATTGTATACTATTTAATAGAGAAGAACGTCCTCTTTTTCGTCAGGTTTGTATTAATTGTTATTTAAAAAAATAATTATTTTATTTTCAAATTATATAATTGTTTTAATAGATTTTGGCGACATTAGAGCATCTGTTGCGATCATTGCCCAAAATTCATAGGTCGACATCAGAACCTACATTAAACCGAACTCATCTGCAATCCGATGACTTTTTGGGAACAGTATGTGCGTCACCCAAAACACCGATAAACTCACAATTTGGTGCATTCCCTTTCTTTACTACTGGAAATATTTGAGTCAATTATTTTTTATTATTAATTACTATTTATATATATATTATTTTTGTTGAGAATTGACTCCATAAACAAATCACTTTTATTGACAAATTACTGAAAGGGTATTACAAACAAATTGTTATAAAAAATGAATTTTGAGTTTATTTAAAAAGTAATTTATGACAATTTTATTTTTTTAAACAATCTAAAATCATGAATTGCAGGTATTATGATTAATATTTACATAAAAATTATGTAAAAAAACAAATGAAATTTACAAATTTAGACATATTTTCTGTAATTTTTTTAAAAAATTTTAAAAGCACTTTATATAATAATATATGCGGTAATTATAATATAATACTAAATAGCATTCCAGGAGTTACTTAAAATACAATCTTTGGCTATAATTATGTTGTAATTATTATATCATTTTATGTTTGTTTTTAATAACAAATATTTTTACACAAAAATCCATAAATCTCGTAATAAATCTAACGGTAAAATCTAATCGACTCTCACTTTGAGCTTAAAATATATTTACAAATTGTATGAAATAATTAGGAAAACATTTGTTATTCTGTGATATGAATTAGTTTATATAACAAACAAATTGAACTTATATTATAATAATAATTATTATTAATTTAATATCATTTTTCTATTTTTTCTTATTTTAGTATTTTTACGTTATTATTAAATTATTAGGTAATAATAATTTAATAGATTTGTATTAATAACTATTATAAAAAACACATGAGTGAGTCTTTAATTCGTTAATATAATTCCCCATAACTTATGTTAAACATCTAATTATTTCTCACATTTTTACTGAAAGTTGATTTATTTTGACTGAACAGTAATGTCAGTGAACTTATCTAATCTTTATAATGTACTCATAAATGCAAATTCATTGTCATTCAAATAAAATAAATGTCATTATTTTGACTATTTTTAATTTAAATAAATAGATAAAAATAATTAATATTTTAATAATATGTTTAAGTAAAAATATTTTATTAAATTTCTAATATTAAGTGTTTAAATAATTAAAACACGATTTTATAGTAAAAATGAAAACATTAATAATAACAACTAATAGAATAACTTATGAAAAATAAAGAATAATTAAAGAATAATTGGATGAAATATACTGTTAAATGAAACCCAATTTACATGCAATTAGTTTACAGTATACAGTAGTATATATATTATTAGTTCGTAAGTATATTCAATATATCTCTGTATATAATAAATATAATCTAATCGTTTATAATATAAAATGAATGCAATTATAATATAAAATGAGTTAAAATGAATTTATAATATAAACAATTGTATWATAACGACGTGAAGAACAGTGTTCGCCATTTATTGCAACCATTTGTGCGACAATTGATAAATAATTTATATAACAAAACCAATGACCAGCCATTCGATTAAATTCTGCGGACTTTAGCGTATTTGTAAGCAATGATGGCTTGTTTATCGTAACAGGCCTTACAAAACCACGACTCCTCCTCCCGGGGCGCCTGAGTAATACCCACACAACTCCAGTGATACCAACAGTCACAGTCATCACAACAAATGGATGGCTTTGTGTTGTCCACCGATAGCTTGCATTCTGGACATTGCCATTGAGACGACTGTGAACTACCACTCGCCCCGTATTTGGTCAGTGCAATGATTGGTGACGTAGATATCGATTTTGGAACGACCAGTGGTTTTGGCGGAGCGCTTACTATTTGTTTCTTTTTCTTACATCGCGGACACATCCAATTGGAATCAGCTTTGGGTTCGGTTAAAATACCGACACATTGCCAGTGATACCATTTATCACATTTGTCACAACCAATCATAGGTGTTCCGTCATCTGGTTTATCACATTGAGGACAAATATATTCTCCTTCTTCCTCTTCCTCGTGTACTTTAGTGTTCTTTTGCTCCTTTGGTTTGTGTTTGCCTTTAGATGTATTAATTAATTCTTCATCAGAAGTCTGAAGTTTTTCTATTTTCTGGGCCACAAAAGCAGTGGTCGAGTCTTTACGAGGTCTACCTCTAGGTCTCATAGCTGGCGGTTTGTTTGATGGTTTTGGCTCTTTTTTCGGTGGTGTYACTGATGTCGGTGGCGGCTAATTATCATTAAAAACAATATTATAGTAATTGATTGAAAATATAAAGATATAATAATTTGGGTGTGTTTTGCAAGCAATCTGAGTAACTGTTCTGAGTATAAAATTTACTGATTTAAGGGAAACGTTGTCTGTATTAGCTGTAGAAGTGGTTTCCAAATCAATTGTCGAACTGTGCTCTTCACGTCCTAATTGTCATTTGTCTTTTACCCTTTTCTTTACCTCTTTTTTCTTTATGAACTTTGATTCAATTTGTTGCTGTTTTTTGACACATTTTTCACAGAACCAACTTTCGTCCTTTTCGGGCGCCACCTTAATGCCAACACACGCGTAGTGATACCAATCATCGCATGTATCGCAACCTTTGTTTGAAAAACAATTCATTTACAATAATAATAATATAATTATTTAATGAAAATATTAAAAACACACCAATCATAGGACTGCCATCATCGGGTAGTTTACAAGAGGGACATATCCACACTTTTCCACTGTCGCCTTCTGTCTTAACAGTGATTGTCTCACGAATAAGAATACAAGATTCTTCTTTTGTCTTTATTTCTGGTTTTATATCATCTTTTGTCTTCTTTTTTGGTCCTCTTTTTTCTTCTGTGGTACTTCTTCTGGATTTTGTACATTATGTTTGGGTGACAGTAATGTTTTGATCGGTGCCTTACTTTCGACTGTTGTTTTAATTGCCAGTTTATCATTCGGCGCCTTTGGAACCGATGCTTTTGAACCCAATTTAATGTTAATCTTGGGTTTGGTTTCTTCTTCAGAAGACGAGTCATCGCTTATATGAGCTTTTGATTTAAACTTTTTATTCTTTTGTTTCAATGACTTCTTGTCTTCCTTTTTATTCTTTTCTTTTTCTTTTTTTTCTGTTTTGTTTTCTTTGTCTTTCTCTTTCTTAATCAACGGCGCGTTCTCTATTTCTGGAGGTAATGCCTTCTTTTCAGCCAAAGTTTTCGGTTTAGTCAACACAGGCGGCGGTCCGTATGAAGACTCTGTAGACATTGATTGAGACACAGCTGGTGTCAACAATGGAGGTGATGAGTGATCGCCGCGTGCAAAGAGTTGTCGGGTGGGTATAAATGGATTCTGATTAGTAGATAACATGTTAGGTGATAATGGTGATGAACCGGGTGATACTTTTGGGAATGCGCTCATTGCTGATTGAAATGCTGATGAATTGCTATCGTTCGACGGCGACGAACAAGCGGTGGCAGCAGAAGTGACCACTGAAATCGATGCTTTGTTTTTCTTGCGTTTCGAGACTGTCTTTTCGCCGGCCATTAGTACTAAAGTCTTGGCCGCCTCGTCGTCGTCAAAATTATGGACATTATGTTTACTTTGAATCGGAGAACTTATTGCTTCTGTTTTCACTTTAGGACTCATCGTATGATATGGTGAGCGCTTATTTGGAGACATAAGAGCTGATTCCGATTGACGAACTACTTCATCAAAGATATCGTTCATCATCTTATCATTAGAAGCATTATCCTTCTTGTTCTTCTTATATGACTTTTCTATAGAGTCTTCTTTCTTAATCTTGTATTTCCTTTTAGGAATTTCTATAAAATTAATTCAAATAAAAAATCAATTTTTGAAATCAAAACTAAAATCAAATTTATAACAAACCTTCTTCTTCTTTGTCTTTAATATTTACTTCATTATCATTGGAACAACAAATACGATCGATGACGGCTTCAATACAAGAATCTAATGATGTATTTGTACTCTTAAGCGTATCGTTTGGTGAGGTAATGCTGGCCGGAGATCGAGCCATTGTCGGAGTTGATGTTGCCGTCGGTGTTCCGGTTGATAGTCCGACCACTTTAATAGAAAGTGGAGAATATGATCGCTGTTGAGGCAAATCTTTAATCTTTATGCGATCCTTCAAAGTTTTGACTTCTTTTTTGCCTTTAATTGGTTTAATCGTCAGTTTTTTGTGTTTAAATTTCAAAGACTTATCCTTCAATCCCTTAAACAACATCTTATCCTTCTTTTTCTTGTCCTTCTCTTTTTTCTTGTCTTTTATCTCTTTTTCTTCCAATTTTGGTTTGTCTTCGACTTTGATTTCTTTTTCGGGTGAATTTTCTCGACTTTCTTCTGATTCGATAATTCGTTGAGTATCTGGTAGTCGGCCTTCTCTTTGAGTAATAGATGAATGTAGATCTCGAAGGAAACTGAATGTGTCGACAGTACTTCTGAGCGGTGATGTGGAGCCCACATCACCGGCCATTTGTGAGGTCGATGACGGCGACAACAGACTATCTTGTAATGTCTCATCATTTGCACGATTTTGCTCACCTCTGTCATCAGTACCTTCCGGTTGTCTCGATTCTCGCAACGGAGGCATCCATTCATTATACCTTAAAAATCAATTTATTAATCCATCGGTAATATCTTAAACAGTATTTACATTTTTTCATTATCCGACAAAACAACAGAAAAATAGCAAACAAAAAGCACTACCATTCGGGTCTATCCTCTGATTCTCCTGTATTAGTGATGACCCGATTGGCCACATTCTTGATAGGATACTTCGGGACAAGTATGTCAAGAGGTTGCGACTCAACACACTTAATGTAATCCTTGAGTTCATTGAGATCAATGTTGAAGTGATTGAACGCCAATTGCATGTCATCAAAGATTGGCTTTTGTCGACCGCAATGGTTGGCAAAGCGGACACATTGTTTGGACAGTTGTCGCACATATTGAGCGGTGATCTGTGTTAGCACTTCTAGCGGTGTTTCATGTGATGCGTGCCAACCCATGTCGCGACATATTTGGGCCACAAATGTCCGCAATATGGCATCACTATATGTGACCACCATTTCGGCCACAACTGGTCACCACATGTCCTGCGGTCGATGTGTTGCCGATTGCGTCCAAACAGTACTTCTTGTCATTCAATCAATTGTTCACTCAATCAATGGTTCAGTCATTCAATCATTGATTGCATTCAAGTGTTTGCTATGCCTTTCAACACACAAATGGCGTGAATCACATACACAGCGCATGCGTTAAACATTAATTCATATAAAATTTATTGACAGTCAGTCACTACATCTACAGTCCTATACATTGAATAAACTATTGTATAATATTGTATTGTATTTGACTTAACGGTAAATGTTTTAAACTTTAAGCACAAAGTTTAAAACATTTACAGTTAAGTCAAATACAGTACAATATTATACAATACTGTAGTTTATTGAATGTATAGATTCTTTGATTTGTATATTATTAATTGGTCCCTACAACTTTAATTATACACTAAATATTAAAACTAAATGAATAAAACAAATATAATATAACAAAATTTATTAGACAATAAAATTTTTTAATAAAACAAATATTTTAAACATACAAATTAACTATATCAACAAAATAATAATTAATTAATATAATTGGGTAAAAAATAATTTTAATAATAATAGTTTAGTTGTAAATGAGTAAATGCATATAATTAACATTATCATAAAATAGGTAATAAAGTTAAATTCAAAAATCTATCGTAACATAGCATTAAAGACAATCTTATTGAGTTTATAACTGTTTTTACAAATAAATTATAAATATATAACAATAATTGTTAAACTATTGCTAAACATATTTATTAATATTAATTGCATTTTATAGAAGTGATAAACAATTAATATAGAATTTTTTAAAACTTTAAAATTAATAAATTTTTATAAATATTACTATAAATATTTTTTATGTAGAAAATAGTTTCTACTGTATAATATATATGACATATTAAATATTCAGAGTTTAGAATTTAAAGTATTATCATATTATAATTTAATATGATTTATAAAAATTATAATATGACTTAAAATAATTTAATTATAACAATTGTTTCAATTATTTTTGACTTTAATGCATTTGCTTTATTTATAAATACAGTAATTATTTTGTTATCATTATTCAAACTGTAAAAAAATGTTTKCATAAGTGATGGATAAAGTTTGCGATAAAATCTTAAATTTAAATAAATATATAATTTATTATAATAGAGGAAGTATTTGTCTATCTCTGGTATTCATGATTTTATGCACTGTATTGACACCAATCAGATATACGGGATTCAAATGGACTATTGAATCCATACGTTTGTAAATTAATTATAAATATTATATACTGTTATTTACAATAATTTCTATAGTTATCCTTTAAATTCATAATAAAAACAATATATATATATTTAGTATTTTAATATATTTATGTATTGTATGTTTATTATATATAAAGATTAATTGATAAAACAGTTCAAATAAACACCTGTCCCATACATATAAAAATAACAAATTAATTATTATATTTCAAATTAAAGATTAATTATTTTAAATAATGTGTGATTTTTTGCAACCATTCGTATACCAGAAGTTTGATGGTATTCAATAAAAACTGCTTTCAATTAATATAAAACTTTATTATTATGTTATATCTAAGTTTAGCAGATCTCTATAATTAAAACATAAATTCATTAATAATATTATAAACTATTGATTAAATTCTATAATATTTGATAAATATATGAGAGAAAGCATTTTACTATAATAATCTGATTATGGATTTAAATGGTGTTACGAAAACAAATCTTATTTTTAATAATAATAATAAATCAAACAACAGTTTCGATGAACTAAAAAATAAAGAGAGTAATGAAGAGAGTGTTGAAAAATTAATGAAATTAACTGAAATTTATAGGGAATTATTGCTGACTATCGGTGAAGACCCGGACCGTCAGGGCTTACAAAAGACACCGATCAGAGCGGCAAAAGCGTTGCTATTCTTCACTAATGGATATCGAGTTAAACTAAAGGAACTGTTGAATGGCGCCATTTTTAATGAAGATCACGACGAGATGGTCATTGTTAAGGACATCGAGATGTTCTCGCTTTGTGAACACCATTTGGTGCCTATCTATGGATACGTTCACATCGGATATCTGCCTAATAAACAAGTGCTTGGCTTAAGTAAATTGGCCCGAATTGTTGAAATGTATTCAAGACGACTAACAGGTTTGTTAATAATATTATAATTCAATACAAACATCCCGTTACCGATAACTCTATTGCTTTTATCTTTCAAAAACAAAGTTCAGGAAAGAATGACTAAACAGATAGCAGAAGCAATCACTTTGGCTGTCAATCCTACCGGCGTTGGGGTTGTCATTGAAGCGACGTAAGTGACAGTATTATGATTGATGAGTGATATACTTATTATTTAATATAATAATTATATGATTATTATTAATCAATTAACTATTATTATTATTTAATAGTCATATGTGTATGAGTATGAGAGGCGTTCAGAAAATAAATAGTAAAACCATAACCAGTTGTATGATTGGTGTATTCAGAGATGACCCGAAAACACGGGAGGAATTCCTATCACTTACACAATAGTAAAGAATTTCTATTATTTTGAAGACCGGAAACGATTACCTACTTTCTCAGTAAATTATTTCATATATTAATAATTATTATATAAATTTTATTATTAATTAACTATAATTTAATACAGTAACCTAATGTGTATCCTAAGTAACTGAAATTCAAATTTATTATTAGTACGATAAGGTTTTATTAAATCAATATATATTTTATTTAGCTGTGCTTTTTTATAAATAACAGTTTGATATTAAATTTTTAATTAAAAACAATTTTCAATTTTCATTAATATGTATGTTTTTAGTAATGCTTTATGATATAATAGATATACTAATATAATAAATTATAACTTAAAACATTTGTTGTGTAGATAAGACATCAATTTAAGATCACCATTATGTTTAATATAAGACAAATAGATAATACAGTACAGTATATAATTTACAGACTATAAATTATTTTTGCTATTAATATTAATATTTAATTATATTAAACTAAATGACAGGTAAACTAAATAATTAACAGACAAACTAATTAATTTGATTAGTTTATTTGTTTTTCATTATACTATATTTCTATATTTCTATAAATCTATAATTTAACAATTTTATAGTAAATAATACTGTAATGATTATAACAAAATAAACTATTATTTGTTTATTTATATTTATTATTAATAATAATATTAAAGTCGACACAAATTTTTTCTATTTTGTCACTCTTTGGGACGATATTGTCACTGATCCAAGTGTTGGACGATTTGAAAGACAAATCATTAACTTTATTAATAAATTTTTAGCTAATTAAAAAGCATTTGTTTTAATTAATTTATAAATAATTTTTATTGTATTAAAAAATTGAATTAATAAAAATACATTTAGTAATATATTCAATGTTAAGTAATATTGAAATATCAATAAAAGATTTTTTAATAGAATTTATTTAATAGATATTATTTTGACATTCATTTAAAAACATTCATTCTATACATAAAATATTGATAATAAATAACCGATATTTTAAAAATTATTTTTTTTATTGTATAATAATCAACAGTAAAAGTATTGCACAAAAAACGTATTATTATTATTATTATTATTTAATGATAAATTTATTATTGTAAATGTGATTAATAAATAATTGATCAATAAATATGTTTGTTATTGCAATAAAAGCAGTTTTATAATAATTTATTTTATTTATATAAAAATGTGTTGCTTTGTTAAAATTTAATAATTAAATATAGTTATTAATTTTGTATTACTAATGATTAGAATAATAAAATAATTTTCAAAAAAACTTGAAAAGTTTTGTTTACTGAAATGTATACAAGACTTTTTGAGTCTGTGTGTCTGTGTGTCTGTGTGTCTGTGTGTCTGTGTGTCTGTGTGTCTGTGTGTCTGTGTGTCTGTGTGTCTGTGTGTCTGTGTGTCTGTGTGTCTGTGTGTCTGTGTGTCTGTGTGTCTGTGTGTCTGTGTGTCTGTGTGTCTGTGTGTCTGTGTGTCTGTGTGTCTGTGTGTCTGTGTGTCTGTGTGTCTGTGTGTCTGTGTGTCTGTGTGTCTGTGTGTCTGTGTGTCTGTGTGTCTGTGTGTCTGTGTGTCTGTGTGTCTGTGTGTCTGTGTGTCTGTGTGTCTGTGTGTCTGTGTGTCTGTGTGTCTGTGTGTCTGTGTGTCTGTGTGTCTGTGTGTCTGTGTGTCTGTGTGTCTGTGTGTCTGTGTGTCTGTGTGTCTGTGTGTCTGTGTGTCTGTGTGTCTGTGTGTCTGTGTGTCTGTGTGTCTGTGTGTCTGTGTGTCTGTGTGTGTGTGTCTGTGTGTCTGTGTGTCTGTGTGTCTGTGTGTCTGTGTGTCTGTGTGTCTGTGTGTCTGTGTGTCTGTGTGTCTGTGTGTCTGTGTGTCTGTGTGTCTGTGTGTCTGTGTGTCTGTGTGTCTGTGTGTCTGTGTGTCTGTGTGTCTGTGTGTCTGTGTGTCTGTGTGTCTGTGTGTCTGTGTGTCTGTGTGTCTGTGTGTCTGTGTGTCTGTGTGTCTGTGTGTCTGTGTGTCTGTGTGTCTGTGTGTCTGTGTGTCTGTGTGTCTGTGTGTCTGTGTGTCTGTGTGTCTGTGTGTCTGTGTGTCTGTGTGTCTGTGTGTCTGTGTGTCTGTGTGTCTGTGTGTCTGTGTGTCTGTGTGTCTGTCTGTCTGTTTGTAGCATTTTTTTCTAAGTTTGAAATTCTGACTTCAGATTCGGTTAGAAGACTACTAATAATGAATTGAAAAGTTAAATCAAAAATGATTTATCTCTCCGTAAAAATGGTCAAAATGGCGGAAAACTGAAAAATTTTCACAAAATCATAACTTTTTTTTACTGTTTTAGAAACAAATATAKAACCTTACCTATAATGTATAATATACATTGTAACATGGTGACTTTAGGAATTTTAATTGTTATATAAAAATTGATTTAGTATTTATTATTGACTTTTTTTTATTGGACTCAATATTTATATCAATTTCTTTGTTTTTTAATAATTGATTTTTTATTATTGAATGTCAGGTTTGCTATTAAAATCTTTATTAATATTAGAAAATTTATTACAAATGGTAAAAACAATATAAATTTTTTACAATTATTACATAAATAATACTAAACAATATTTTTATTGTAATTACAATTATTATTAGTGTCTTGATTTCCAACTAAAAAAATTATTTTGTCGGTTCAACGCTTATAACTGGGATTTAGTATGTCCACCGAAGTTGACCAGTGGACGCTATTTCCGAAATTTTATTATAACTATAAATAACTAATTGTTGGGTTAGAAGCTATAAAAACTTATAAATAACTATTTCAGTTATTTTGAAAAATATAAGCATTAAATTGTAAAATTAAGCACAAATATATGTAAAAACAAAAAGTAATAGTTATATAAATTATATAAAATGTGTAAACTGTTATCAACTCATATTACTTTTTTAACAATAGAATAATCATTTTTGTAAATATGCTGAAAACAAATGAATTACAGGGACATTGGATGAACTTGTGAACAAATTCAAAGTTAAATAACAATTAAATTTATTAATTAAAATTAACGATATTTTTCGATATGAAGACCCTTATTATAGTAGATTTGACGACATCTGCGGCTCCAACTCTTCAGTGCATTGTTGATCATATTTTGCGGCACTTTCTTGACCTCTTCTCTAATAGCTTTTTTAAGGGAAGATATTTTGGTTATTTTTCTTCTATTCAATCGTTTCTTGAGATAACCCCAGAAGAAATAGTCCATTGGTGCCGCATCAGGACTAGAGGGCATCCATTGTTCAGGTGTTATGAACGGTACATTTTGTTCCCGAAGAAAGTTTAATGTCTTTTTAGACACATGACTGGGAGCCGAGTCTTGATGGAAGCAATAGTCACCATTCGGGTATAATTTCGGGACATCTCGTCGGAGAAATGGCTTTAATATCTTATTTATATAATAATCGGAGTTTATTTTGACTCCAGGTTTGACAAATCGGACTTCGGTTTTGACATTTGCCGAGATTCCGAGCCAAACCATAACACCTTTCGGGAAACTTGCTCGCGAGTATACCTCCATGTCTTTACGGGTTTGTTGAAAGGAGATATACTGTATCTTTGTTTTACCATCTGTTTCCGATAAATGGAACAGTGCCTCATCTGATGTAATATGTTTTGTCCATCTCTGGCCTCTTAGACGGCGATAAAATGGCCACGATCTCTTTGCCCGCTTTTCAATGGTTGCGGCGCTAAGTACCTGTCCTCTTGGTTTTTTGGCCAACTTTTTCTTTAAAACATTGCGGATCTGGTAGTTGACAACCCATTCATTAGTTTTCAGTTGTTGTGCCATCGCTTTCTGTGTGATTGGATTGGGATTTTCCACCATTTTCTTCAATCGACTTAATTGGTTAGCTGAGAGGACACTCTTTTTGCCTCTCAAGTAGGGTTTCTTTGGGATATTGTCCGCTATTTTTGGCGCATTTTTTATCTTAGATATCATACTCTTAGATAACGGGATGCCCTTTGACTCGAAATATTTAATTATCACCGAAAATGACCAGTTTATGTCTAAAAACGCCTTTACTTGTGCTCGAACTTCGGGCGTGACCTTTGGCCACATTTTCAATTGCACTTTTAATTAAAAAATATCACAATAATTATATAACACTATAGTTTGTTTTGGTATGAAAATAAATATTTTAAACACATGTTTAGACAGTCAAATCTTACATCAAATACGTTCACAAGTTCATCCAATATCCGTTGAAATATTTATAAAAAAAATAAATAACTATTTCAATAACTATTTGGCTTTTTTAGCAACTATATACAACTATTTAATACAGTTTAAATAACTATTTTAAAAACTATTTGACTTTTTTTAGCAACTATTATAACAACTATTTAGTAGAGTATAAAAAATTATTAATCAATACACTAATTATTATAAAAAGTTTTGTGAATAAATAGTTAATAATATTTAGTTTTATTTGTTTTTTTCAATATATTAGTAATTGCCTTTTAATAATTTTGTTTGTAATATACTGTATTATGCAATAATTTATATCTAATGTACTGTATTTACTGTACTAAATTAATGTAAATGTATTTTAACTATAATATATATAAAACATAAATCATGATATAAATAAAATAATTATGTTATTTATATTTTATCTTGTTAAATTGATTTAATAATTATTATTATATACAGTATATTTATTGAACTTATTTTATTCAATTTTTGTTAGTTTATATATTTCATTAAAATATAATTTATTGTTTTAATGTTATTTGAGATTTAGTTATAATAAAAAATTAATAAAAACATTATTAATTAATATAATAAAATATAATAATAAATCATTTTACAAAAAATTAATCAAATATTAGTAATAAAAATGAATTTAAATTTAAATGGATGTTATAATTATAGTTTTGGTAATCATTATTTAGGAGATAATTCAAACAATAATTCACTTATTTTGTTTACAACTGAAGAGGTATTGATTGAATATTTATATAAATTAAAACTAATTTAAATTTATAATGTATTACATATTATTTAGTGGTTGTGTAACATTGAAAGTGAATTTTTAAATATAATATCCAATTACTATCGGTTTAATATAACACTAAAAATTGTAAGCAAAGAATATGAAGATAATATAAAAGCATATTTTCTTGAATATCCGGTAAAAACTATTTAATAAATAATATCTTTAAAAAATTATTATTTTTTATTGTAAAATAAATGTATATAAAGGAAACAGATCTAACATTATATCCGATGACAATCGATGAATATTTATATGATTTTTCGCTAACCCATTGGTATTCAGAACAATATAATTTGGTTATATTAAGTCAAACTATTACACAAATGCCTAATTTAATACAAATGCTAAATATTTATTCAATAAATATTTGGATTTTATTAATAATTACTATTTTTGTTGTTTCAATAACTGTCACATTAATCAATAAAATACAAAAAGGTATTTTAAATGTCATTAAAAAAATTTAATTTATATTAATTTGATAATTTTATTTAGAAAATAATACAAAAAATCAAAAGACATATTTTGCATATGTTTTTGAAATAATAAGACATTTATTTAATCAACAATTATTAAATAAAAAATCAAAAAAAGGTTTAATATTAAATTTATGGTCATTTGTGACAATTATACTAACGGCTGGATTTTCAGCCGGAGTTCTCAATTCATTAATAACTATAAAACAAACAGTTATTGAATCGATTGATGAGTTAATGAAAACAAATTTATTAGTTTATAATATCAATAATTCTGAACTTTGGAGTAAATTTAATGATGCAAATGATGACAATAATATAACATTGGATCCAATTTTAGAGACTATAAAACCAAAAATGCGTTTCAAACAAATTGAAGAAATTTGGGTTAATTTCTTTAATATTAATTAAATATATTAATATTATATTTTTAATTAATTTAAATTAAATTAATCAAATTTTTAATTAATTTTTAGACAAATCCTATTATAAGTGATCTGAGAAAACGAAATGCAGTTTTAGTGTCTGAATGGACAACAATATTGCAAAGTAAAATATATTTGAATCATAAATACAAATTGACCATGGACATTGGCAAACAATTTTATTTTTACTCATTACTGGCTCACGCTATCAATAAAAAGTATACAATTGTCAGAAATAAAATATATAAAATGTTAGTTTTATTTATTATATTGTTTTCTATTTTTATGCTAAAAGTTGGTAAATATTTAATAAACAAAACATATGATTTATAGCTCTAGTTATATATAATGTTATCATGATACATTTTTGAATTTAACTTTTTTACGTAGTGTATAGTAATGTAATGTTTTTTAAAATATATTTTTATTGTTGTCTTTATTAGTATACAAATAGCCGTCGAGACGGGGGTTAATATACGATGTAATCAAAGACATTATTTTGATCTACAGATCAAAACTATCAATAATGAGAAATCCTATCAAAATTATGAATCAAATGATTACCAAACAAACAATTATAGAAAAATTGAATTACAATTTATTGACGATCTGTTTATTGGATTGGTTTTATTCATAACATTTTCAATATCTATTCTACTCATTGAAATTGGATTCATATTTATACAAAAAGTTATAATTATCAGAACATATGTATCAATTCTTAATATAATTTTGTAAATTATAAATAAATGAATATAAAAGATAATTAAAAAGATTTTATGTTAAGTATAATTATCTAAATTTTATAGTAAACCAAATGTTAGTGTTTGGACAAACATAATTATATTATTAAACACATAATTATTACTTTTAATAAAACAATTTAAAAAAACTATGCATAAGTATTAAGATTTGGGGTTTATTTTTTCAACTAAAAATTATTTTACAAACACTACATTTCAATTAATTATTGTTGTAAATAATTATATTATTAATAAACATTATAGATGCTTTTTATTAAAATTAAAAAAAATCTATTCATCTGTATTAAATCTTGGGCTCTTAGTTTATCAATAAAAATTATTTTACATTTACTATGATGTGAATTAATTAATATAGTAAATAATTAATAATATAATTATTTATAACAATAATTAATTAAAATGTAGTGTTTGTAAAATAATTTTTAGTTGAAAAAATAAACCCCAAAACTTAATTCTGATGCATAGTTTTTTTTAAATTGTTTTATTTAAAGTAATAATTAAGTGATTAATAATATAATTATTTTCTATATTAATTAATTCACATCATAGTAAATGTAAAAAAACTATGCATCAGAATTAAGTTTTGGAGTTTATTTTTTCAACTAAAAATTATTTTACAAACACTACATTTTAATAAATTATTGTTATAAATAATTATATTATTAATAAACATTATAAATGATTTTTATTAAAATTAAAAAATCTATGCATTTGTGTTAAATCTTGGGTTCTTAGTTTTCCAATAAAAATTATCATGTCAATTAATTATTATTGTAATTAATTATATTATTAATTTTTTWAATTATTCATCAATCAAGTTAGATTCTTTGTAAAGTTATACTAAGCTAACAATTAATTCAAATTAATAATCTAATTTTTATAAGTTAGATAAATCACACATAACTGTATTACTAAATTTGTTAATTGAAAACTTATCTTATAAATAAAATATATCAGTATATATTTGTGTCTAAGTTATTATCTAAAATAAATAAAATTTTATTATTAATATAATAATTTGTTAATAAAAAATGGAAACCAAACGAATTAAATGCAAAGCAGCGGTCGCTTACGGACCCAAACAATCTTTATGTGTTGAAGACATATATGTGAATCCACCAAAAAATGGCGAAATCAGAGTCCAAATTATCGGAAGCAGTATTTGCAGATCTGATCTTCACATTATAGACACCAATATTGCCAACGATTTTACATTTCCATTAATTATGGGTCACGAAGGGTCCGGTATTGTCGAGAGTGTGGGACCTGATGTAACTGATATTAAAATTGGAGACCATGTAATACCCCTTTGGATACCTAATTGCATGAAATGTAAATTATGTAACAGTAATAAAACAAACTTTTGCCAAAAAGGTATGCATTGTACTGTAGTATTGATTTTTTATTATCATATTTATAATACTTAATAATAATTCAACTAAAAATAACAATTTCAGGAACTCAAGAAACAATGAACGTAATGCCAGACGGAACTACTAGATTCTGGACAATGGATGAAAAACCAATCTATAAGTCAATAGGTTGTGCGGCATTTAGCGAGTATACTGTTATGCCGATAGAGTCGGTAATTGTGATCAACAAAAATGTCAATTTAGAGAAAGTGTGTCTAATTGGTTGTTGTGTTGTCACTGGTTATGGAAATGTCGTAAATGTGGCCAAAGTCGAGAAGGACTCATCAGTTGCTGTCTTTGGTTTGGGTGCTATCGGTTTAGCAGTCATTTTAGCCGCTAAAGAGTGTGGAGCTAAACGAATCATTGGTGTTGATGTCAATGAAGATAAGTTTTCAGTTGCAAACAATTTTGGATGCAATGAGTTTGTAAATCCAATGAAATTACCAAAAGGTTTTCATAGCATTCAACAGTTATTTCAATCATATGGAGGTCTGGACTATACGTTTGAGTGCATCGGTAGTGTCAGTGTTATTCAAACAGCTTTTGAGTCACTTAATCGTTGGGGTATTTGTGTTGTAGTCGGACTTCCGCCAAAAGGTTTCAGAAATTTTTTAATTAATATTTTTAATATATATAACATTTATATTTTATTTAAGGTGAAGAAGTTTCAATAAATCCTTGGAATTTACTGACCGGTCAAAAACTAACGGGAAGTTTCTATGGCGGGTATAAACCGAGGGAAGGCATACAGTATTTGGTGGACAAATATATGAGAGGAGATTTAAATTTGGATTTATTYATAACTAACAAAATTAAATTACAAGATATTAATAATGGTTTTGATCTCATGAGAAATGGCAAAACTATTCGCACAGTCATTGTATTTGACAAATAGTTTTGTAAATTATTAAAAATAACAAAAATTGATAACATGTTAGACACACAAAAAACTTTATAAATAAACTATTTCCTGACATAATTATGAATWAAAAAAATTCAACAAATGTTTTTCCAATTCAATTAATTACATGACTTTAATATTGTTATTAAAATATGGCTAATATTCAAATTCATCGGAACGTAAAACTCTATTTCCAAATGTTTCCTGTTTTTTGAATTTAAACAGTAAATTGATTTTAATAATAGAAATCAACATTAGTTTATATTTGTTAGCAAAATAAATTAATTTATAAATTCATAATGTTTTTCAGTTTTTACTTATATAATATTAATATATAAATGTAATACTATAATTTAAGTACTGGTATGTTATTTTTTTTAGTAAAAACATTACCGATAATATAATTTAGTTAATATAAATTATATATTTAATTTAGTTAATATAAATTATATATTTAATTTAGTTAATATAAATTATATATTTAATTTAGTTAATATAAATTATATATTTAATTTAGTTAATATAAATTATATATTTAATTTAGTTAATATAAATTATATATTTATTTATATATAAATTATATATTTAATTTAGTTAATATAAATTATATATTTAATTTAGTATAATATATATTTAATTATATATAAATTATATATTTAATTTAGTTAATATAAATTATATATTTAATTTAGTTAATATAAATTATATATTTAATTTAGTTAATATAAATTATATATTTAATTTAGTTAATATAAATTATATATTTAATTTAGTTAATATAAATTATATATTTAATTTAGTTAATATAAATTATATATTTAATTTAGTTAATATAAATTATATATAAATTATATATTTAATTTAGTTAATATAAATTATATATTTAATTTAGTTAATATAAATTATATATTTAATTTAGTTAATATAAATTATATATTTAATTTAGTTAATATAAATTATATATTTAATTTAGTTAATATAAATTATATATTTAATTTAGTTAATATAAATTATATATTTAATTTAGTTAATATAAATTATATATTTAATTTAGTTAATATAAATTATATATTTAATTTAGTTAATATAAATTATATATTTAATTTAGTTAATATAAATTATATATTTAATTTAGTTAATATAAATTATATATTTAATTTAGTTAATATAAATTATATATTTAATTTAGTTAATATAAATTATATATTTAATTATATATTATATATTTAATTTAGTTAATATAAATTATATATTTAATTTAGTTAATATAAATTATATATTTAATTTAGTTAATATAAATTATATATTTAATTTAAAGCACATGTATTTTAAATATTTTGTGTTTTTTCTGTGACTTACATTTGTTGATACGACTCGTCTGTCTTTTTGTGGCAACTCTGTGGCCAAACTCCGGCTAAACAATTGTATGAATTCAGAGTTACAAAAAAGACGGATGAGTTGTTTGAAACGTTTGTATCAATTATATGCAAAACACTTGATTGTCATTATTAAAACAAATAAGATATTTGTTTTTTTTATTTGTAAAAGCATTGAGTATTTACTATAATATTATATAACATTATTAAAATAATTTGTTAATTATCTAAAAGTTTATTAATAAAATAAATAATTTGTTTTACTATTAATTATTGTGTAATGGTTTCACTCAAATGGCTTCACCTGAAGTGGAAATTGGTTTCAAATTCATTAATATACTAATTAACTCTCTTATCAATCCATTTAAAGGGTACCAGTATTTAAATATCCAACAATTTTACCGAAAGTGTCCTCAAAATGATGACCATTAGAGCAAACCATTTGTCGTCTGTTTTGTAGTTGACTTCAGAAAAATTATTTCTTAATTAAACTCATTATATGTTTGGTATAATCAATACAGCGATTGATTCATAACTGGATTTATTTATAACAAAAATGTTACGGTAATTGTTTGCCGTAACTATAAACTCATTAATGTCTAAATCGACAGTTAATTGGAAAACAGTTAAGAAAAAAGTTATTTAAACAAAAATTAAGTTATAATTTAATGATATATTTTTGTTAGACTAATGAAAGTATAGTCAACTTGTATTTACAAATAGATTTAATGATTTACTGGAGAAAGTGATAACAAAAATTAAATATTATTTTTATTAGAGACAAACTCTTCGTGTTTTTTGTGAAACACGTGTTTCATGTGCTGAAACACATCCATTAGATCTCGTAGTCCTTTCTCGAAGACGTCAATTGCTTTGAAGCCGGCATTGGTTTGAATTTGAATCAGACATTGATTATCATTTGGATGAGGCATTGAATATCCACAGAACTTGACGTTACTGTTCTTCACTATGATATACCTATCCGTATGATAACCAAGAAGTGACAGTTAATCCAAAAGTAATAGTAATGCTAATGATTGACAAACCGGAGCGCATTGGCCAGTGTGTGGTCTTCATCTTTAAGCGATATGATAGCGCACTGACCATCATTGGTCAGCTCAACCACTTCAAAACGTGAAGAATTAGATGTACTGGACATGAATGTGATCACCAAATTGGTCGACAAAGAAGTGTTTGAAATACCAAACAAAATATCAGTTGTTTTGAATGATAACATTCAATGATTGAATGGTCCCTTAAATTGGTATAAATGACGTCAATTGCAGTCATGACATGTGTTTGGCCTCACGAGACACCCAAGTGGTCGACAGTGACCGATGCGGGACCTAATTGGTCATCAATTGACCATTTGGTCACCAAAACAATTGACAATCATGTCTTTGGACATTGTCTTCAACTCATATCAACAAACAATCATTTATTATCAACTGTTGAACAGTACATCCAAACTGAAGAAACTTTAAGTTATTATCTCATCAAAAGTGTTCCCTTATATGTCTTCATCGATAAGATTTTAATCAACGGATTTGTTAAAAAAGGACATCTCTTTTGTCTTTCAATTAATAAAGACATCGATTTAGACGATTGTTTTGCTGTTTTGCCAAATGGACGGCTCATCCTATCAATCACTGAATCAACTTACCATCGATTGGGTCTAATCGGCCGCAAGTCTATACTTTACCGAAACAAGTGTTGTATCAAAAAATATATGATTGAGATCGACCTAAAGGACGACCATTTGATTCCCGGCACTAAACTGTTTAAGAGAACTGATGAATGTCTTCGTCGATCTGGACTTGTTTTTGATGTTTATATCAAATGGCACGTCAATGATGATCAAAGTCATGAAATATCATCGATGTCTATAAAAAACTTTTTTGATTATATTAAAAATAATTCAAACGATTGTAATCTGAAGACTATAGAGATGTCGAGATGTGTGCCTTCTTTAAGACATTTTACTAATAAATACGTTGCTATTCCTGTCATTAATGATGATAATGAAGAAGATTTACAAGTAATTATTGAATGGTTTGGCGCACAGGTCTGTCAAATAGATTGTGACAAATCTCAAGACAAAGAAGTTTCTTCATTTAGTGTCAAAGAATGTGACGAAAGACAAGACATTTCGTGTGTTATTTTGAATGGATTTTTCAATTCATATGACATTAAAGGATTGTTAACAGAGTTGAAGACAAAACTATACGATACTAAAGACAAATGTTTGAATGGATTTATTGTTAACGGCTTTGAAGACACACCTATTGCTTGGATCGGTCACAATAACGAACACTCAAAGAGTAGTGTCAGCGGAGAAAACATTTACGGCATTGGTTTGAGACAAACTTCAACTAAAACATTATCATTCATTTGGAGGATTGCAGATGAATATGACTTTGGCATTGAAAGACTATGACATTAAACACAATCATTGGATAGGATTTATTATATAATTGTAATTTTATACAATCATTACTAAAATATAGATTTATATTTAATATTAATTTTTGAATTAATTTATACATAAGTATTAAATTACTTTATATTGCCTAATATACTGTACAGTAATTTTTAAAAAAAACTTTAGATATAATAATAAAAATGTTTATTTAAAACTTACAATTGAATACACTTTTTGGTGACAATCTGTCAGACTTTGCACAACACTCGAGTTTTCAGCAAATTTTGACAGATTGTCACCAAAAACAGTCTTCAATTGTAAGTTTTAAATAATTTTTTTATTAATATGTTTACTGAAGACAACATAAAACTTAATAATTAATAAATATAATGTTTATAAGATTGGAATATTAAAAAATAATAATTTATAAACTGTATTAACATTACATTGTATTAATTAATTTTTAAAAAACTATATATTGATAAAAATAAAATTATTAATAAATTGAATTTTTTGTCACAAACTCTTATCTATTCCTCTTTGTCTTTATCAGAATAGTTGGTACTATTGCTAACATAAGTGCAAATGGATTTACAATTAGCACTCAACATATCAAAATCATATTCAAAATTTAGTACAGGAAGTGGGGGTGTGGGGGAAATGGGGGCAATGTTTTAGGAATATTAATATTATTTCATTTTTTTCATTATTGATTTCAACACCTTCTAAAACAACTATATTTATTACAAACTAATCACACATTAAAAATAAGTAATTAATTAATACATTTATTCATTAATTGTTATTTGTATTATAAGACCTTAAATATATACTAATATATGAGAATTGATATATAATCAGAATCAGTATATATTTTATTGAAATTACAAAGTTGTCAAACACGACCTAATTTTGATTAGTGGCCACTGTATTGGTCACTGTTTTTGGTGGTATTTTATGTGGAAGTAATGGTTTCGGATTATTTTCACGATTCATGTAAACGACTACAAACATGATTACCACAATAAATCCGATGATAATTAAGAAGAAAATGACAGCTAAAAGTATTTCACCAATACTTTCGCTCAATGTTTCCCATCTATTTTCTGCACATTTTTTAAGTTAATTGAATTAATAAAGTTTTATTGATTAAATAAAACGGTTTTTTTAGTTTTACCCGATTGGTTATCTGTAGGATCAGTTTTGCCATTACTATAGTATACATAACCTYCACTATTGTTCATTTGTTATATCAATTATGAAAATTTTCCAAATAAATCAATTTTCTAAATTAAATTTTGCTATATTTTTGTGTACAAAATCAACAATTTTTAAATCAAGACTCTTAGCTTAAGTAACTTTAATAACTTTAAGCTCAAGTATTTATATGAAAATTAGTTTAGATATACAGTAAATTGTAATTTAAACCATTTAAAGCTAATAGTAAAATAGTTTTGAAATATAAAATAAATAAATTTTGCACGTTTTATATAAAATATTATAATTTATCGGACATTCACATACAATAATGTAATATTTTTAAGTCAGTAAATTGTCTTATTATTAGACAATAATTTATTATCAATAACTAATTGATTGAACTTTAATGCTAACGATATGAACTTATTTTTTTCACGCATTAGTTTGATATTTGTATTGTTTATCAAATTATTAGTTAAAATTCAAATAAATCATTATTTAATTAAATCAGTTTTTAAAACATTAGATCCAAAAATCATGTCATCACCGGATGACCACAGTTTGCAACACTTGGACACCAATGATGTCAACGATGAAAATGAGTAATAATTGAATGATATTAATCACATAATTAGTTACTATATATTTAATACAATTTTAATAATCAAATAGTTATTATAACATATTTTTATAAGACTATAATTTTAATCTTTTTAATTAGCAAATAGTTGTCATAAAATTTAACAAATTATCAATTATTGTACAAAAATATATTAAACTTTTTCATACAGTAATGACCATAAATACGAAGAAGAAGAGGACGAAGAAGAGTCGACTAAAGAGTACGGTAAAGGTGGCTATCATTGTGTCCAAATCGGTGACACATTTTACCACAAGAGATATAGAGGTCATTTAAAATTTGTAATCATTTTTGTGATAAAAAAATAAACTTTAAATAAATTGTCAAAATAGTAATCCGAAAGCTTGGTTGGGGTGCCTTCAGTACTGTATGGCTGTGTGTGGACACTAAAGTCAACTCATATGTGGCCATCAAAGTGGTTAAGAGTAATAAGGTTTACACAGAAAATGCCGAAAAAGAGATTGAGATCTATGAGACCAAACAAGTCAGTGATGTCAACAATCCGTACTCTCAACGAGTCGTCAAATTTCTTAAGTCTTTCTCAATTGTCGGACCAAATGGAAAGCGTAAGTAATTGTCTGATCGTTTAAATACTTTGCAGACATTAATTGTTTTTATTTTGCTTTTATTCTGAAGATAAATGTTTGGTGTTTGAAGTATTAGGCGACTCTTTATTGAAATACATGACAACTATGCATCCAACAGGTRTTTACCTACCGATACTCAAGAAAATTATTGTTCAAGTCTTGCAAGGATTGGATTATTTGCATACAAACTGCCAATTGATTCACACAGATATCAAACCTGAAAACATTATGCTAACAATCAGTGAAAGTCAAGTGCGACAAATGCATACACAAGTGGTCAATATGATTGGTATGTCCGGTGAGATTCAATTGCCAAATCATTTAGTATCAACTGCTCCGTCAAATGTCGTCAAAAAGTGTAACAAATACTTCAAATGTAACCGAAAGTCGTGTTTTCAAAATGTTGTCGATTTGATAGTTAAATGTGAAGACAATTGCAATGTCCATCACATTAACGATAATAATAGCAATGGTATGAATCATATACCTTACGGTATATTAAATTAAATATATTAACTTATTTGTTATTTTATTAGATGACATATTTGTGAAAATTGCTGATTTGGGAAACGCCTGTTTCACTGTAATAATACTTTAATAATAATTATCTTTAAAAAATTATTTATTTATTTATTTTTTGGTCAACAGTACGATACATACAACGCCACTATTCAGACGCGACCTTATCGGTCACCCGAAGTAATATTAGGCTCAAAATACGGTCCATCGGCTGATATTTGGTCAGTTGCTTGTATGGCCTTTGAGTTGGCCACTGCTGATACTTTGTTTGCTCTCGAATCAGATGACAAAGACAAAGATAAAAATTTGTCAAAAAACAGTAAACATTTGGAACTTATCATTCAATTATTAGGTCCCATTCCTAAGCAATGCAGAAAAGGCATGTATTATAGCAACTATTTGACCCCTGGGTGTCATTTTAAACATCGCAAAAGGAGTCAGAAAATTGTTAGCAAAACAATTGATGACTTACTGGTCACTCAATACAATTGGTCACCTAATGAAGCCATTGGTTTCGCACAGTTTCTCACTCCTATGTTAAACATTGATCCCGTAAAACGTTGGACAGCAACTCAATGTTTGACTCATCAGTGGCTTTATAGCTAATAGTAGTTTATATACAGTACTGTATATTATTATTAAAATCTTATTTTTAAAACTCTTTTCATTAGTAAAATATTGTTTTTATTACAAATTTGGAAATATTTAATATACTGTAAAGTATTTTACAGCTATTGAATAATTGTCATTCAAATGGCAATTCAATTTTGCAAATCGTTTTAAAGTTTAATAATAAAACAATAAAAGTAGGAAACATTTTGAAATGTATTATTTTGTATACTAGAGTTTAGATTTATTTTATAAAAATATTTTTAATCTTAAGAAAAATTTTAATGCTATAACCTAAGACCCCTTTTAATCATTTTACCACAATATTAGTATTTTTATTTTCAATAATTTATCGTTAGATTAATAATATAAAACTACATTTAGTTTAAATTTAATAAAACTTTGTTTATTGTGTTTGTTGTTAAAATGCAATACTAATTTTTAATACTAAATCCAAACATAAGAAACAAGTTTATAATAACTATTGAATATAAAACAGTTATGAAATTTCTAAAAACCTTTTGGCGTAATCATGGTTTTAGAGATAATAAAATATTTATACAATGTTTATATTGAATTTATAATGAATTGGTCCGATAGTCCGGTTAACTTCCTTGTCGTCCACTCCCACATACAATCATATATTAAAAATCGCATAATTTGTATGAAATACTTTTAGATATACAGTATTACTAAAAAACTACAGCATTTATTAATCATTTTTAGGTTATAAAAGCTATTTTTATAATAATTTTTGTTCAATTATAATTGCTTATTATTTGATGGTTTTAATATTAAAAATTATAATTTTATACGATACTATGATTAACATATTAATAAGCATAAAATTAAATCATAGTTTTGTATAAAAAATCATCCCCGCATATAGATTTTTATATGATATAATTTATACTAATGTTAAGCACAAAACAATCAAAATTAAAAACAATAAACAATATATTACTTTTTGTTCATTATATAATTTTTTTTGAATTAAAAAGATAAATTTACGTTTTTTAAAAATTACTCACATGTTTTTTGGGCAATTAAAATAATTAAAATACAAACATTAAAAAATACACAAACAAATAGTCATAAAAACATAACAATTATAAATGGATTTCAATTTCGAAAATTATATTTTTTATAATTAAAAATAGTTATTATTTATTACAAAAATTATTTTTAAATTACAATCATTCATATAATTATTAAAGCCATTGTTATATAACATAAAAATATAAGTCATTTTACAATATATGTTTGTATATATTGATATATATCCTAAACCTTAAATCATGATACAATTGTAAAAATTTAAATAATACTAAAATTGTTATTGTAAAATAAGGCACTCATTATGCAAATAAAATAACAAACAAACATATCATGAAAAAATGAAAATTAAATCAATTTGCAAAAGTTAATTTTCATAACATATATTTTCACACAACTTATATATCAATTACTTTATTTAAGGACATTATTATATTTAACAAACCATACTTTTTTACCATAATTTAAATATTTTCTATAATTGTATGTATAATAATATTTAATTTTCTATATTTACACAAATTTTTAACTAAGAATTTAAAAAAAAACAAAATTTTGGTTTTTCATAACAAGGATATAATTAATAGGGAAACAAATGTTTATGTGTTTGTTGTTTGTATTGTTTGTTATGGACTAAAGTTCTCAATTGATTTTTTAAAGTAAATCTCGTGTCTGTATAACCATTGATAGCATTCACCGGTTTCTCGCACTTCTGAAGGCTCTCATCGGAGTGATTACCAGAGTTGATGCCGTCGTCGTCATCGGATGTACTCAAGTCGTGCAATGGTGTCCAACAATGGCTTGATTTGTGGTGATTATTGGCAACTAAAGGCTTTAAATTAAATAAATCCTCCGATAGTAATATCCTTTCGCGATGACAATCAGTCAACTGTTCCCTTTTAAGTGGCGGTATTTGTGGTCGTATTATAACCTATTTATCGGAAAATAAAAATGTTTAGATAATAATTCCCATAATAACTGTCAAATATATTACATTTTGTTGACAAATTCAGGAAACAATTATTATTAAAAAAAAAGTTTATTTTATGGTAAATATATTAGTTATCTAATGGGTCTCTATAACATTTCTAACTCATTTCTATTATAATTATATTCAAATTATATAACTTATTATACAAAATACAAATATGTATTTAGTACCGGTTACTCAACAATAGGTTACTTTTAGTTTAAAAATGTCTATGATTTTTAGGCTTCAATTTTATGGGGGTATAATATAACGTTTATGTAATAAATTAATTTTATATAACTTTTACTTTGTATACTATTATTATATGATAATATTTCATAACATTTTTAGTAGATATTTATTGTTTTAATGACCTTTTTAGGGTTAAATAATTTTTTGGTTTAGTGAATAACCACTTAACACACTCATAGATAAATCTATGTTTTAAAGCTACACATAGTTATTATTTTATAATTTAGTGATTTATGTGGTGAAAATTGTTTTTGTAATAATTGAAAAATTTTGAAAGTAAAATAACATATTTTATCGCCAAAATGCTTGTTTGTTTCAAAATGAAATATCTAATGTAATGAATTAGATAATTATGTGTTGAAATTGTTTGTTAAAGTGACATAACATTTACCATATATTATGATCTTTTATATGATATATAATGTTTTAGTAATGCCGAGAGATAAGTAAAAATACATTTTAAAATGACAATTATTTTCTGAAATTGTAGACATAAATCATCTTAATATGTAAATTATATGTAATACATAATTAATGATTTGTATTTGAGTGAACATTTGTCTTATTTTTAAAAAAATTAAATAATCATAAAAATATAGTATTTTCCTTAAAGCTTATTTATGTGTTATTTATAAATCATATGTGTTTTAAATGAGTATATTATTATTGTTTTTAGCAAACATTTTTAATATCTCTATATTTGAGAAAATTGATTGAAACTAAAAATATGAAACCTTTATACAAACCTTTATCTCTTCCTCTTCGTCTTCATCAGAATAGTTGGCACTATCGCTAACATTAGTGCGAATGGACTTACAATTGGCACTCGAGATATCAAAATCATATTCAAAGTTTAGAACAGGAGGTGGGGGTGGGGGTGGGGGTGACGCTGACGCAAACTGTCGGCTATTATATGGCTTATTTGGCAGACGAAGGACGTCTTCATTAGTTAAATGATGTGTCCGTTGGCTGTTCGGGTCGTTACCACTGTTACTATACGAGTGATCACTCAACGGAAGTGTTGCGCGTTTGGTGTCACTGTTTGAGCCATTTTTATTAAGTTTGTCAATACCTGTCAATTAAGTAAATAAATAAAAATATATAATAAAAAATTTAATCTTTTAATTTTATAAATTTTGTAATTTATAAAACAGAAATTTATTAAAAATTTTACTGGTTTTTAGTTTTTCAAATGACCTAATAATCAATTAAAATATTTAGCATATTTTTTTGCTGAAAGTATTTTATTATATATTATACATTAAATAATTTATATATATATAAACTTAGAATTTTTTGTTTTCATTTTCATGCTAAACATTTGATTGATGTTTAAATAAATTATTTTATAAAGTCTTTTATTTTGAAGCAAACAGTTTTAGACAGTTTTATCAATGTTGATCTATCATTGATTATATATTAAAATTAAATTAGAATTAATATAATAAATATAATCTAGGTTCATTTCCTTAAAATGTTCACTTAGATATTATACTGTATATGTACTCAATTTTATTTTATTATAAACGCACACAAGTTTTTAAAACAACATTTTTTACTTTAAATGATTTTATGATAAAATATAATTTTTTAGGCGTCACCTAAATTCCTATATAAACACAATAACATAATATATTGATATATTATAAAATAAAAATTGGAAAAATTATTTAGACAATAAAAACCTAGTTTTATTTTCATTCAATAATTTCATTGAACATTGACTTATAAAATTAGTTTCCTTTAAAAATTTTAATTAATTTAATTAATATGCTAAAAATATTAGATTTATTACTAAATTACTCATTTTTAAATTAATAAAAATGATTATTTGTTCAACGAAACATATATTTTATAAAATACTATATATGAAAATGATTCAAATTAGTATTATTATTATTAAACTATTATTATTATTGTTGTTATATATAAACGAATTTATCAAAAAATAATAATAAATAAGGTAAAAAAATTAAATATTTTGTTTGTAATTTTTTTTAATGATTTTGAAATTAAAGCAATTTTTTGACATAACATTGAATGGCCTATTTATGGTCATCAAAAAAAATATTTTTTTAAATCGCTTATTCAACATAATTAATTCAACGTTATATAAAGTAGATTATCAATAGTCTTAAATAAAGTATATTTTTAGTGGCACTAAATAACTATTGAAATAAGTTTTTTTTGTGTCTTACATAAACACATTATTATATTGGATGAAACCCACAATATTAATCTTATTATGTTCAATGATATTATTATTTTTAAAATACTACATTTGCTAAATAGAAATATGCCATTAATAGTTTATATAATAAAATATCATATAATATTATAATAGATTATAAAATATGATATTATGATATACAGTATTGTGAAAGATAATTCATCTTTTCACTAAATTATTCCCTAATTTTGACCTAAAAATCTTATTAGATATTTAATATCAATTATTTGACTAATTGTAGGTTTAGTTAAAAAAAAGTGAAACACAAAACATTTTTGTTATTTATGATTTTTTGTTAAATGTTAATCTAGTAAACGCCAAACAATAACAAAAATATAAATTTCTTTAAATAATTGTCTCATTTTATTTCATCGCCTAAAAGAGATTATTTTATTTTTATATTAAAAATATCAAATAATTAAAAGCAAAACTATTTTATTAAATTATTGTATAGTAAAAATTGTTTAGTAAGAGAAAAAACACAGAAAAAGAAAGAAAGAAAGAAAGAGAGAGAGAGAGAGAGAGAGAGAGAGAGAGAGAGAGAGAGAGTAAAATAATAGAAAATTAGTTCAAAAGTAAAACAAAGTGAACGCCTATAATTTTTAAATAATTATAATTCAACAAAAATAGCAATTAAAACATAAATTATAAAATGCAATTTGTTAACCAAATAAAAATTTATCAATAAATAGGGTGAAACTAAAATAGAATAATTAAAAGAAATAACTAATAGATTGTTAATATATTAAATGGATATTAAGCATAATTAGTAAACTAAATTTGCTAATAAAAAAGATTAATAAAATGATCCCTTATTTATAAAATTAAAATAATTTCAGACATTTATCAAATTAATATTAATACAAATTTCTAAAAATATATAATTTTAATTACCATTTGTAGGTTGAGATTGTTTACCAAAATAATAGGTAGACTTTTGCTCTTTAAGACCGGCTGTCGGTGTGTTTCGTCTCAAAATAAAGTTATCGTCAAAAGCTGTCGGAAGTGCTGGACTACCGCCGCCTTTATTCTGAACCTTTCGGTCAGAATAGTATTCATCCGATTTAATGCAATCCAATTCATCAAAATATTTATAATTACTTTTATATTTATTATTATTATTATTATTTCTGAGGTCAGGAAACAAGTCTTGAGAATTAATTGAATGCAATTCTCTATAAAAAGGATTTTCATTGATTTTATTGAAGTCTCGACTATTATTATTGTCGTAGTTATCAAAGCCATTGATACCATTATAATAGTAATGACTGTCACCATTCAAATCTTGGTTTAATCGTTCAATTGATTTTGTTTTATATGGCTTATTGTTAATACAATTGATATTAGATTTTGTCTTATTTTTCAGATCTGTTTCGTAATTAGAAGACGAAGAACGCTTCACTTTGCGGTAGTCTTGCGAACAATCATTTGTTTTGACCGCTTGTGATGTCTGGAGGGCTGAGTTGAACCCTTTTTTTTATCATTAAATGGTTTCATAAGATTAGAACAATTTGTGATCAAATAATAAAAAAAGATTTTTAAAAAAGATTTATTTTTAAGTAACTTTTTCAAAAACAACATCAATATAATCATGTTTTTATTTTTTGTTTTATTTCAAATCAAAGAACATTAAGAAAGGTGTGTTTGGCCTTTTAATCTGATCCATTGATAATTAGTATCAATAATTATCTATTAAATTACAGTGTTATTAATAATATTTTCTATTAATTTAAATTTTATGCAAAAATAATACTAAAGAATACTGTATATTATAATTTAATTTTAAAAATTTTAATTAATGCTTATAAAGATTAGAAAGATATTTAAAATTATTTTTAAAACTTATTAAAAATATATTTTTTATGATAAATAAATATAAATTGCTAAAATAAATAAAATAATAACTTATTAAGTAACAAATTGCTTTTACTATTTTCAAAATTATATATTAACTAACAATAATAAAATTAATATTATAACTATAAAGTTTAACAATTATTTATTTAAATAAAAATTTTATATTTTATATATTAATTTTATTTTTGTTTATTAATATATAATTAATAAATATTGTATAATTTTTTTACTTAAAATATACCATTTTTCAAAACAGTAAAAGCAATTTAAGTAAATAAATTATAAAGTTTTAAAATACTACCGGTAAGTATTGCATAGAATCAGAGCATTATTTTATATTAAACAATAGGAAATTAAACTTAAAATTTAGTTTACTTTTTATTTCCCATATTATCTTTATATTTCCTTAACTATATTGAGGCTAAAAATGATAAATAAATAAAAAATATATTTAGGCAAAAAACTTATAGATTGAATGCAAATATATAATATACATATATATATATATATATATATATATATATATATATTTATATTATATTTCAATAGATCATTAACTTAACTATAACTGTTGAATGTATAATATTGAATATATAGTTGTTAGAAACAAATATATTTTAGATATAATTTAATAATAAATATAAAGAAAAATTTATTATTACTAAACTTTATAACAATAATGAAAGAAATTCAATGAACAGAAAAAATAAAATGTTTTGAAATATTGCTTACCATTAAAATTGTTATTCTTTGAGTCAAATATGATGTTTCGTGACTGATATTTTGATGGCATAACATGATTAGCACCGGTACTATTTGTATGGCTTCCACCACTGTTTGCACTTCCACTACCATTAATACCCGGATCTGTTGGATGGCCGGTGAGCTTCAATCGAGGTATTATAAAATATTTAGACGAATCTTCACAAGAGATCCTATTGTTGTTATAACTCTTTTCGCTGTGTTTTCTGATCAAAGCATTCTTATTGATGTCTATATTACTTTTAGTGCCATTATTGCCACTACTTGTACTGCCGCTGACAATACTGGCAGAACTACTGTTCACATATTGTTGTTGATGTTGTAGCACTTTTCTTATGACTGTCCGTCAAATTTGACGACTCATATGAAGACAAACTATTATGATTAGCACTATTACTGTTATTGTTGTTGTTGATGGTAGTAGTGGAGGACAGGTCTCCATTATGATTGCCATTATTGGAGTTTAGTGGTTGTGGTGGTTGTGGTGCTCTGTATTTATGTCTTTGTATTTTTGCTTTGACACCATTGCTTGCACTACTCTTTCTGAGTCCATTGAATTCCTTTCTTTTATTACTACTTTCCTCATAATTACTACTTTCCGAGTGATTGCTGTCATGACTACTACTGCTATTATCAACGGCCAAATCGGTCTCACTTTTACAGCGCCGGGAGTTTAGTATAGCTTTCAGTTCGTCAGCGATCGGACTGCACTTCGTGTTGTTTGTCAGCGGCTGTCAAACAAAATTTAAGACAACCATTAATTATATGTGGAAATGAAAAAAATAATAGATTTTTTATATTAAAAAAAGTGTTCAGCATTTCAACGTAATTTTAATCTATGTTTTATATCTTTTTATATTGTAGTGTAAATTTTGTTTTTGCAAAAAATATAATGAATAAAACAATTATAATCTCTTAATAATTTACTTAAATAAAGCTTTCATAATATTCAATAAATTAATTTATTAAAAAAACAATCAGTAATAATATCATAAAATTATATTCTTATTTTTAGATCAAAGTTTATAAATATTAGTGATTTGTTTGTGTGTTTCACTCACTCATCAATTATTAATATAATACAGTTTTTCTCTTTTGATCTCATCATTAGATAATACATAGTAATTAAATTTTGTTAGCCATTAATTTCATAAATATGTTTCCGCATTAATTTATATTTAAAAAAATACTAACTTTGCTTAATAATAACAAATGTATTTCAGCACAAATTAGTCTGCATCAATTATTATTTTTTCTATTAAGTCATTTATATAATATATTTCTACATCATTGAAACATATTATTATTATTACAGTATTATAATATTATGATAATATTAATATTTAATATTAATGTATTTATACTACTGTATAGCAAACAAAAATATGATTGTCCACAATATCAGGTATTTTTAGCTGAGAGAGAAATATATATAAAAAGAGTTACAATTAAATTATTTCTGACTTAAAATTTTATGTAATTAAAATATAATTTACATGCAAAACATATTTTTAATTATTAATTTCATTTATCTTTGTAGTTAAAATGATCTTTCATACTAAATATAAAAATATATTAATTTATAACTAGAGATATATTTTAATTATTTAATAATTTAATATTTTAAAATTTCACTTAAAAATCAACACATAAACACTTTATAAACAAAATCTAAAGCACTAAAACTGACATTAAATTATATTAAACTAAATATAATCAATAAAAAAAGTTTTCACAAAAATATGTATTGAAAGCAAAATAAAAAAGTGAGAAAATAACTAAAATAATAGAGAGATCTGAAATACACGAAATAAGATTAAATAAAAATAATTATAATTAAAATGTTAATATTTTTTTTATTAGTTCAACTTTTATTTATTTATTAATTACAATTATTCAGAATTTATTATAAATAGTTTACTTATTTAATATACAGTATTTGTTAAAATATGTATTGTTATAATATATATTGTGGGCATAACTTATTTTAATTAATTTTTTAAATTATAATTTCTTGAAACGATTCTTATCMGTTTTTGTTTGGCATTCAATGAAAAAATTAACAAATATATTGTTTTTTGCTATTTATAAAAATAATTATTTGTTTGACGTTAATTATAATTATAAAATTAAACATGATTGCATTTTAAAAAGTAAATAAACATTAAAAAATATTTAAAAATATATTCCTAAAATCTATTTTTGTGATTAATAATATCCTACAGAAATTGTAAATTTCAAGCATTTTTGATAAATTAATTTTAATTAATTAAATAAATATTTAACTAAATTTTGGAAATATTTCCTATTTATACAATTTGATATTTATAAGATTTTCAAATTTATAATTTAGTAATAATATATACAGTATATATTCTATGTTCTATATAAGTGTCAATATACAGCATAATAATAAACTTATAAAATGTTAAATCGAAAAAAATAATTAATTTTATTTAATTCACTCTTTTATTATGTGAAACCTGAGAAATGAAAAAACTTGATATTTGAAAAATTCAAAACATATAACTAAATAGTTTTTGTAATATAAAAACAATTTGATGTCAACCTATTTCTCTCAAATGAGAGTTTATTATAATTTATTATAAATAAATATTTAAAATTTTTATTTATGAATATATTTATAAAGCATATTAGCATTTTTTTCAAATAATTTACTAAAATATTTCTCATATTAAATAACTAAAGTATATACAGTTATAAACATACTATTAAACGTAACAATAAATATAAAGTACAGACTGTGGTAAAAGTCGGGACTTAATTTACATATACTGGTTGTTTAAAGCAAGTAAAATAAATTTGAATAATAATAATAATATATTTGTATATTTTTGATGTTTATGTTTTTGACACATATTTCCATCAAATACTAAAAATCAAACAATGAATACACAAACTCGTCTATACATACATACAACATAAAAGTAATGCTTTTGTCATATATGTATAAAACAATAAAATTATTTTGCTTTGTATTGAAACAAATATAAACTGAATATTATACAGTACTTTATATTTTCATAATAATGTTATTTATTTACTAATATATTATGGGATTATTAATTCATAACCTGAAACACAATAAAAAAAATTGTTTCGCATTTGTTTTGCTAAAAAATTGTTACAAAAATTACTTATTATAACACTAAAAATACTTGAATGTTTATTTTCATTAGTATTAGAGGTTATATTATTATATAAATTTACTATTATATATATATATAATGTAAATAATATCGTTTTTCATTAATTTTTTTTGTATTTTTCTGTATTCTATTTTTGATAAAATGTCATTAAACACTTAATAGTTAAAAACAATATATATAACAAATAAAAATTAGTACATTTTTTAGGTAAATAAAATAGACATTTGATTTTAAAATATGATATAAAAAATGAAAAATATAATTAAGGAAATAATGGTTAAGTCAAAACTATTAAAATGTATTATATACTGTATTTGGACTATTATATATATATATTATAAACTCTCTCTCTCTCTCTCTCTCTCTCTCTCTCTCTCTCTCTCTCTCTCTCTCTCTCTCTCTCTCTCTCTATTTCGACACATAATGTATAAAAAAGAGGTTTTAAAAACATTTTTTTGGTCAAAATAATATTTTTATGTTTCGATATTTTTTAGTTTAATTGCTTTCTTTATAAATAAAAGTTTCTTTTTCTCACTCACTGCATATCAAATACCATTATAATAACGTTGTCAACAATTTTAATGACCAAAAGAGATTGACAGAGAAATTGAAAAATAAAAAATAGTTAAAATTTTATTTCAAAGTTTGCAAAAAACTAAAAAATCAATTATTAAGACAAAGCAAATTGTTTTATAGAGTCATAAAAAATTGTATTAAATATAGTATAGCATTAATATTTAATTTAGTTAGTATTTAAGATTAAGTAATTAAATTTACTGTATAAAGGATTTTCAAAATATATAAATGTAAAATACATGATAATATACTAAAGTAATATATTTGTCCAATAAATCTTGACATAAATTAATGGTTCATATTTAGAAATATAATTAATTGAAATATATAATAACTTTTAATATGTTATTCAAAATGAATCAATTAAATTACAAAATACGGTGGCATTGAATGTGACCCAAAAATATTTTTTCTAATCCTATTATAAATAAACTAATACTATATATATTAATCCATAATTGAGTACACATTAATATAAGTAATTTAATTTAACATTTTTAAAACTGTTATAATACAATACAAATGATGATTTAAAATTCATTAAACAAATGATAACTTATAAATCAAGGCTTACTTTATTAAACTCTAGTCCTCTAATGGTTCCTTTAGCGGCTAAGATCTGTCCGTTTTCAGTGGGTCTGAGCACCTGATGAAATGAGTGCGATCGGGGTAATGGTGGTAATTGCATACCTGGAGGGCGACCGCATTTGCCACCAATTTTGCCGTTAATATCCTTAATATTATTGTTTTTGTTTTGACTGATATGTGACCGGAGTATCGCTGCCTTAAAATTGCATCGATTGTCGTCTTCATCAGTGATGCCCAACACTGAGTGCGGTCTCTTCGAGTCTTTTACATTGTGTCCACTATTTGTTACAAATGTCTTATTAAAACCACTCGAATGGTTACCCATTATTAGTAGACTTTAAACTATACTCCAGATGTTATTATTTTTATTTTATAATATTATTAATTATTTATTTAGTTTATTACTTATTATTGTTTCTACAAATAATTTTCTCACAAAATTTTATATTATATTGTAAAAAACAATGAACTAAAATATAATATAGTTTTTTCTTTTAAAATGATATATATTTTACTTGTGATATAGTTTGAGTTGATTTTTACAGTCAATAAATATCAAAATTATAATTTTTACTTGTTTTTCTTGATATTTGATGTGAATGTAATGTTATTAAATATTTCTATTTATTATTAGTATAGTTATAATAATGATTATTACATGTATTAGTTGACACTAAAGTACAGTTATGTATAATATTTTCCGCCTAAAGTCATAACAATTCCTCGTTTATTATATAAAAACCTCTTTTGCTATTTTCAGTGTAACATATATTACGGAATATTCACATTTATATTATTTCTTATTATTGAACTATAATGATAATAATAAATATTTCTTATTTTATATATTTATTATTAAGTATTATTATTACGGTACATAAATAAAGCACCATTATCGGAATCGTTGATTTATTTGTTGTACACTTTTGTGGTAATAGTTATTATTATCAATATATTTATCGACTATTTTTGAAAAAATATAATATATTATTTGTTTGCCATTATTTTGCAAACAACATAAAACATCAATTTTGGCTTCAATATCGAGTTCATTGGGATATTTTATTTATAAATACTTATTGATAAATAATGGTTTTTTGGCACAATTTATTCACAAATTGTGTCCGCTTAATATATATTAATAACATCAATGGATATAATAACACATTGTATTTTATTGAAGAGGAGGTCTACTTTGTCTACTTTAATGCAAAATGATTTGCACGAAAATATTTAAATAATTATTATAGATTATAGATATTTTTATTATATTTTATATAAAGCATTGAAAACCAATAAGATGTTAGTCTTTTGATGTTTTGACTCCCGGTGTATATAATTTTGAAATATTAATTTTTGCGGATCCTTTGCATCACTTTAATTGATGTCTATCTTTATCTCATTGTCAATGGTTTTCAAACAAATTACTGCTTTGAAAAAAATTATTTGATATATAGTTTTGATTATTATTGTTGTTTTAACGTTATTCAGATTGTAAAGTACTGTAAATTATATTTTTAGGCATAAATTATATATCAATCAAATTTTATTAAATGTTTTGTAAAAGTCTTTAAATATGAGAAGTTTAAACAAGAAAATCCTTTTTGTTGATGTGTTAGGTATAGTCACGACTTAGGTTTTGCTTGAGTTTTACGGATAAAATAATTTTAGTTATTATTATTGTTTTATTATATTAGTCTAGAAAATGATATTTTACAAAATGAATGTCAAACACCATATGTATTGAATATATTATATATTAATATTTCCATATAATTTCTCTAATTTAACACATGGTTTGGATTCATAATCAAATCACTACAAGTAATGTCTAATTTTTATTTAAAGTCACACATGAGTTGAGCAAAGTATACAAGCGTTGAGTTACCTGTATATTGAGGAAAGACATTTGAGACGACAGGTGAGACCAACAAACATGAGATTTGGTTGTGTTTGCGATTTGCTTTGGCTTTTAAAGTCCCAAAAACTTTCTGCAATTTTGTAGAAAAAAGACAAAAGATTTATTTTTTTTGCTGAATAAATATCAATAAAACAATTTTCTCAAAATGCTTTGTTTTTATATACTGTATATAATGTGTTAAAATAGTATACATTTGGTTAATGAAAGATCAAACAATAAGCTGAGAGAAACTTATAMTATGTTTAAACTAAAGTTGATTCAAACGTTTGAGAGACTTGTGATCATTGAATTGAGAGATTGAGAGAGTGATTACAAGTGATTACACAAATTTGACGATTCATTCAAGTTTTAAGGTTTTCTTGACATTAAAAGAAATTTTTTTGTTATATCAAACATTTTTTGTGTGTATTATTTTCTCACATTTAAAAAATTACTATATTTTTCTCTAGACTTATAAAACAATCAATAACCACAACATACACACAACAACAGTGGATTTGTTTAAATTCATTACATTTTAGCTACTATTGAAATAACAATAATAACAATGTTTCATAAGGTAACAGTAATATAAATATAAGGGATAGGGGTTTAGCTATTATTTGATATATAATAGACAGTAAAGGTATTAATATATGAGTGCCTTCCTTAGTGTTTATGAACTTTTCAACTTTTATCTTATGAATGAATGAGAGACATACAGACCTAACGCTTATTGAGCATCACTTCTCCAACAATATAACAAAAGTTATAAAACAAGACAACCAACTGTTTGGTTATTTTATATTGRAGTCAAATATTTTATTCAATTAAAAAGTTTTTAATAATAATATAGAAATGATGTAAATTTATGAGTACTAAGTGCTGTTGTCTATAACCTGTAAACAACATTAATGTTATAAAACTCTCTAATAGTAACAAAACTTGGATAAAAATTAATTAGTTTTTTAAGTCAACAACAAACTAAAAATTGCTAACATTTGTTTATAAACATAAAAATCATGAAAATTGCATTAAAATAGCTTTTCTGATTAGATTTTTTGCATAACTATTAATTTGCATTATCATCTCAAACATTAAATATYTTAAACAAACTAATATATATTAAACTTGACTTTTATTTCTAAAAAATTATTAACAATACTATTATTATAATTGAAAATACAACAGAAGCCTTGSATTTGTTAATATTGCAATTAAAAGTAGATGTTATGAACATTAAGATTATAATCAGTAATAAACAATTTCTTTTAAATTAACAAAGCATTTTGAATTAATAAATAAATATATTTATATACTGTATATATAATGATAAAATTAGCTTAATTACAATTTATACTTTTATATTGTTGTACTGTATTATGTTAACGACAGTGACCTAATAGTGTTATAGGAATCCAATTTGACACATAATTTTATGTATGATTTATTTTTGGAGAAAAAGTCGACACTTGCAGGTAATGGTAATGTTTTGTTTGCTTTAATGATGAGCTCAGATATTATAGCCCACAGACAGCATAACTGTGGAATGCAATTCATAAAATACCCCACAATCTAACGGTGCACTCCTCGTACTATCAAACACTTTGCACTTCACATCAATTAACTGCACGGCACAGGTAGAGACCAACACAACAACAACAACAAAGTTGTATATAGTTTACGGGTCATACCATAACATAATGTGAGGCAAAGAATTCATAATCAAAAAATTCACATAAAATTCATATATGAAAAGGTGTTGTAAGGTTGAGGAGATACACATACAGGCACTGCATCTAACCGTTCCTAAGATTTAATACTGAATGATAGACTTACTACTAATACAACAGCTCTCGCATATATACAACAACAACAACATAGCAACTCATATAACAGGTCTCTCATTTCGAGCAAACTCTTAGCGCCGGTATGTTATGTTATGTTATGTTATGTTGAGTGAGTATATTTAATAGTGAAGTTGAATGGCCCAACACATACACACACATAACCAGCACAGGCTGATTACAAATGCTTAACTTTGGAGCCAATTATTAGAGTGACTCCAGAATAGAAATCTATAGTAAAACTGGTTTTGATTAATGCATCGACGCTTCGGACCATCACTTGGTTTATTAGCTAACATTTCATGGGAAGAACCGAATGGCATCACAGGGCAGATGTGATGGTGATTGAGGACAGTCGACACGTTTTGCAATTAATAGACATATAGTATATGCAAATCAATTGTGATTCACGCCATTAAAATAACGTTTTATAAATAGATATACTCCAAAAGCTAGTTGTCCTCAACTATAACTTATATTAACTAATATTACAGTCATGAGTCTCCAGCTATTATGAATGATATTACATTTACAAGTTAATGATACTTTTTTTAAAAAAATATATATATACTATATATCTATGGGCCACACATTATGACTTAACATTAGAAAACACTGAATTTTGTATTATAAAAAATGTTTTGATAACTTAGTCACAAAATTTTGATTTAATATAACATATAATTATGGAAATTTAATATTATAGTTTTATATAACAATTTTTTGTAGCTATTAATTTAATAAGTTATTTAGATATTATTATCATGTATAAAGTTATGTACATTTTGTTATGAGATTTGTTTTGCTAACCTTCAATTTAATTGAATAAATTTTATTATTTATTCATAGAAACATAGTTAAAAAAATGTTAGAAATAATTGTAATTATTATAATTATAATTAACTAGAAAATTGTAAAAAAATTCTAAGCAAAAACAAATACAATTGCATAATATCTTTTGATTAACTAATTGTATTGTATATACAGATATGTATTTGAAATATTAAACAAAAAAAAGACAACACGAGTTTAAGGCAACATTTGTTGAATCACTGTTTGAATCAGCAAAATATTGTATTTTAAAAAAAGACAAATTGTGTGTAATATAAAAATGCATTTCAATAAACGTTTGGATAATTTGAAGTCATAATCATAATGAATAATGTCGTACTAAATTGATTTTTTTTAATTTACAGAATATATTTTTTCTGACAATAAAAGTCAAACTCGTAACAAATAACTTACTATAATATATGTAAAAATATTAATATTAATTAACATTTAATTAGTTATCAAAGTATGCGTTAAAAATGTATATAAATCTTCAATATTTATTTCATACAAGATTTTTATCAACTTTTTACAATGACTTTGATTTTTTGAAAAGAAATGACTTCTAAATAAGTCTTTTGTTATAATTTTTTCTTTAATCGTTAAACAAAACAAAGCAAAATACTACAAAAATCATAAAATATTTTTAAATTGTAGTTAATCTTACAGACGATTATGTGGCAAACAAACAGCTCAATAAAAAATAGTTTCAAACTATGTTTTGAATGTCAAACAAAACATAAATAATACTTTAAAAGAAAGTTTTC